AACTATTGGTACTTCTGTTTGAGGACCCTTTTCATGGTATTGCTTTTCTTCAAATGCTCAGTAACTACTGTTCTCATCTTAATGTGAACTTGTATGAGAATGTTATTTGCTACTGCAAACCATTTTCCCTGATGGGCAAAAGGAAGGACAGGACATTGGGTAAGCCTGATAGAATGGTTCTAATATAATCACTCACATACATCATCTGCATAGTGCTTGGGATAAAAAGGGTGGTAATTATAACCAACCTCTTATGATGCAGTACTCCCAGCAGTTATCTAAAACTTGATCTTTTATTTTGTCTCTATTTTTGAAGCATCCCTGAAGCCAGATTCACTTTTCAGGTAGAATTCTCTGGCCCTATCTATCCTAGGATTTCAAAGAATTCCTTAAAATTTATCTATCCAGTGCACTTTCATTTCTCCAAACTGTGGAGATTGAATAATATTTTTACCTACCATAGTATGAAATAATCCTCTTCTCTGTCACTTCTATTGTTGTGGATGTGAGGAGCTTGAAGGATGTATCAGCTTGAACAATGTACTTTGTGATAGCTAAGCCTGTACATGGTTCCTCCTATTCTTGGGAAATTGAATGCTCTTGAAGGATGATCCAAATGTGAAAGATGTTTTAATATACATTCTGGGATAGCATCAGTTCTCAGAGTATTAGTTTTTGCTTTTCATGAAGATGAGAAACCTTCCAAATCATCCATCCTAAAAATCCATGCTCTGTGCATTTATTTTTCTTCAATGCTTAGTTTAGTTTTCTCTAGTTTTTCTGACAAGGAAGTTCATTGGGAAGACAACACATTAAAGAAAAAAGATCCTTCTAAAGCTGTGCCTTGAAGGAAAAAATTGATTAGATTTAAGGACATCAGTTCAGGAAAAATATGTATAGACTTTAACATATTTTCATGCAAAATAAAAATAACTCTATTGAATAATGGTGGAGGGTGGTATAATTTTACACTGTGGACTTCTTCCTTTACAATGATATGTGAGCTTTTCATATCCTGTAGTTAGATTAAGGGCTGATTAAGAAGCTAGATGGGCCACACGAAATCCCAAGGAGATCATAATTGTCTCTGATTGTTTTATGAAAAGGAAATTATCAGCAGAATTATTTTTTCTCCAGTCTTTTTCCTAACAATCTTATGGAATGGTTTTAGGACTAACTTAATTGTTCTTTAAAATAAAAGCAGAGGAAATTCTACTGAGGTGTTTTTCCTAAAAAAAATTCTCAGTTTAGAATGCAAATTGTTTCACAAAGAATGCATAGTCCTAAAAAAAGAAAAATAAGATAGCACTGTCTTTTAAGTTTTCCAAAATTGTAAATGACTATGCTGACTATCCCCTGGGATTAAAAATTTCTGCAGAAGTAAAGAAACTGCAGTTTTAGGTATAAAATAGACAACTTTTCTGAACTATTAAGCGTGGCTCATTATTAAACATCCGACTCCTGATTTCCACTCAGGTCATGATCTCAGGGGTGTGAGACTGAGTCCTGTGTCAGGTTCCACAGAGTGTGGAGTCTGCTTAAGATTCTGTCTCTTTGGGCGCTTGGGTGGCTCACTCAGTTAAGTGTCCACCTTTAGCTCGGGTCATGATCTTAAGGTCCTGGGATCAAACCCTGCACTGTGCTCCCTGCTCCATGGGGAGCCTGCTTCTCCCTCTTCCTCTGTCCCTGTTCATGTGCTTTCTCTCTCAAATAAATAAAATCTTAAAAAATAAAGGAAAAAAGAAAAAGATTCTCTCTCTCCCTTGCCCTCCTCTCCCCGGATGGGTAGGGGCACCTGGCTGGCTTAGCAGGTAGAGCATGAAACTCTTGATCTCAGGGTTATGAATTCAAGCCCTACTTTAGGCATGGAGCTTACAAGAAAGAAAGAGAGAGAGAAAGAGAGAGAGAGAGCAAGAGCAAGAAAGAGAGAAACAAATAGGGACGCTTGGGTGGCTCAGTCAATTGAGCTGCTGCCTTTGGCTCAGGTCGTGATCTTGGAGTCCTGGGATCGAGTCCCACATTGGGCTCCTTGTTTGGCGGGGAGCTTGCTTCTCTCTCTGCCTCTGCCTGCCACTCTGCCTGTGTGCTCTCTCTCTCTCTGACAAATAAATAAAAATAAAAAATCTTAAAAAAAAAAAGAAAGAAATAAACAAGGGGAAATCCCTAAAAGTTGGAGCAGGCTGCTCATATAATCTACATTACCTTTAAAAGACAAGTGGTATTTTATTCCCTTGTGCATCAACTATGTGTATTAATATTTTTGATTAAACATAAAATTATTTTGATTTCAGTCTATTTCATAAGAAATCTATTTACTATACATCAAACCAAAAGAATAAGCTAATAGAATTTCAACAGAAGTAATGAAAAAAATAGCCTTTGAAATAGATTTGACTTCTCACCAATCTTGAACTGGAAAACATTTCCCATTCCAATGGCTTCCTTCAGAAGTAAAAAAACCAGCCATTTAAGGTAAACTACACTTCCTCCATACTCAGAAACACAAGGGTTTAAAGTGCCAAAAAATTTGCTGTGTATCTTTCTATGACAGTTTTTCTCACCCTGAATTTCATAAAATAAACTACACAACTTTAAACAGCGTAAGTTTATTACCTATTCACTGTGTTACTTTAAGCATTCCAAATAAGGAAAAAAATTTGTAAAGTTTTACAAATGCTGACTGATAAAAATATTACATAGCTGCTAATGGGATTTTCTTTTGAGCATAAGTTAATATACTAATAAGTTTAGTTCTGCTTATGCCAACTTTTTTTTTTTAAGATTTTATTTATTTATTTGACAGAGATCACAAGTAGGCAGAGAGGCAAGCAGAGAGAGAGTTGCCTCTGGGGGGTGGGGGGTGGGGGCGGGGAAGCAGGCTCCCTGCTGAGCAGAGAGCCCAATGCAGGGCTTGATCCCAGGACCCTGGGATCATAATCTGAGCCAAAGACAGAGGCTTAAGCCACTGGGTCACCTAGGCTCCCCTATGCCAACATGTATATTTAAAGAATTTTTCAGGGGCACCTGGGGGACTCAGGGGGCTAAGCCTCTGCCTTACGCTCAGGTCATGATATCAAGGTTCTGGGCTGGAGCCCCACATTGCGCTCTATGCTCAGGAGGGAGCCTGGTTCCCTCTCTGCCTACTTGTGATTTCTCTGTCAAATAAATAAATAAAAATCTTAAAAAAAAAAAATTCAGGGTCACCTGGTTGCCTCCATCAGTGGAGCATGGGACTCTTAATCTTTGGGTTTTAAGTTTGAGCCCCATGTTGGGTGTAGAGATTGCTTAAGAATAAAGTCTTAAGAAAGTTTTTTTCTTTTTCAAGCATACAGACAACTTCAAGTCCAAAGAGGTCAGAAAAGTATTTACATAATAAATATGTAAGAAATTTTAGAATTTTATGGATTTAGATGAACTGATGATACCCTCGTGAATCAGCATAAAACATCAGTTTGTATAAAGAATTCTATACAGAATAAATTATTCTGAACACATACTGTTTAACAGTTTAAAATTTTAAGGTGGTCAATCTTAAACACTATCACTAAAAATGAGATAGTTTTGGTTGTGATGGTTTGTTGCATAATATTTAAATAATGTCAGTTATGAGTATGGGTCTTGACTATAAATTACTCAACAATATGTAAACTAAAAATGTCTTCTTCATTTCCTCAGAAGATTTAATTTTCCACTCAAATTTTAAAACCTTATCAATGCCAACCAAAACAAAAATTCTAACAGAGTTCTAACTTCATTTTAGTTTTCCAGTATTTTATTATTTATTTAAAAAGATTTTATTTATTTATTTGACAGACAGAGATCACAAGTAGGCAGAGGCAGGCAGAGAGAGAGAGAGGAAGGGAAGCAGGTTCCCTGCTGAGCAGAGAGCCCGATGTGGGGGTTGATCCCAGGACCCTGGGACCATGACCTGAGCCGAAGGCAGAGGCTTTAACCCACTGAGCCACCCAGGCGCCCCTAGTTTTCCAATATTTTAGAAGAAAATTATGGGTATTTAATTAAAGTGCAAAACATTTTGCTATTAATTTTTTGTTATATAATCTATCATGTTATCTTCCTTGTTAACTAAACTTTCTTACTCAACTATATGTGTTATAAGAACAATAAAAATTTTTTTTTTAACTAACTAGAGAATAAAACACTAGTGCATGTAATACTTGGTACATTTGTAATATATCAATATAATGCGTAGATAGTTAACTTAAGGTTAGATCACTAATCAATCATTTTTTGTGGCTAATTTCCTTTTCCAAAATTATTTCTGTGTATCTGATGAGAGATAAAGTAGTTGAAAATGTTACCATTATATCTATTTTATGTATTCCTTATTAAAAATAGAATGTGACTGAAAAATTGTCTGAAATTTTAAAAAAGTGTGCCAAAATTAGCATTTTAAAATAAACTATGAATAAAAGGAACACCAACGCTTGTGTTAAGAAGCTGTTTGTCATTATTTTTTTTAGAGATTACAACACGCATACAGTAAATGAATTTTATCAAAATACAGCACATTTCTTCTACTATATCCATAAAAATCAATTCCTATGTAAATAGTACTGAAAAACAACTAAAATGAGTTAAAATTTACAAAGAGTTGTTAAAGGGTTTCAATCAATATTATTAAAACTATACAGTACAATAACCAAGTGATAATATCTCGAAAGAAGTGCAATATTTGAGTTCACATCTTTTGAAAATTACTGCCTATTTAATCTGACTAGCAAGAAGGAACGGGTCCAACTTTTTTTGCAAAAATAATGTAAATTGCCATTTTTGCTAGTCCTATAAAAGTCTTAATTAAAACAAGGTTGAAGGACAAAGCATAACAGATTAAAAATTCCAAAATTATATTTCTTAGTAATTAAAAACGAAGTACAATAACTGAATATTGCTCTAATGAAAGGCTCCAGGTTAGCCTTGACTAAAAACAGTTATTGGTCTTCTGTGGCACTTTTTTTCTGGTCCAAATAACCATGCATTAATTCTTACCATTGCATGTTATTCAAATTTTATTGAATTACAAAGAACAGAAACAAATAAAATTAATGGTTTGGATAAACAAATTAATAAACAACTATGAAATATTTGTTACACTAATGAGGAACAAAGGCAGCTGGTGGTAAAACACTATTCTATTACATTGATACACTTAGAAACCCTTTAAAGACTCTGAAGTGTTGAGTTCACATTTAATGTTACCTTTAGGAACAGCCCTTTATTTGAATACCTTTACACACTGGTAGGCCTCAAGGACCCATCCCTTTGCTCTACAACTCTCCACAGCAATTCTCTATCACTGTGCCAATTTCACAAACTTACTTTGGTTTCCTAGCTCCATGCGTACTGTTTCCTTTGACTTTACCAAGGCAATGTGAGACCAAACAAAATCAAGAGGCTTTCCTAAATCTGCTTACACTTTGTGTTACAGCAACACAATCTTAAAACTGGCCATTTTAGTTTCATGTGCTGCTTAAAATAAAAATTATAAATTAAGATTAAAATGGAATACTAATTATAAAACAGATTGCAAGGACTAACATTTGCAAAAAAAAAAATCAAGAGATTTCCATATCACAAAAAAAAAATGCATGGACATGCATCTACATAAGAGTTAAAAATTTCCTGTGACTAAAAAATTAAAAATTGAATCACCAGTAGCAAATGTATTGTCAATGGCTATGACAAGAACAGATCCTGTAGAGCTCATAAAATGCAATTACCGTCTTTTTTATTTCTTTAAAAAGACATTACATTTTTATTGCATTATTTTATTAATAAAAACACATTAACAGATTTTTCAATCTCTGCTTCCAGATTTTTATAGGAATTGACTGTTTTAATCTGGCCTTGGAAAGTGAACCCACCAGCACCACCTTCACCTACTCACTCTTCAATTCAATATGCACATAGCAAAAACCAACACTTCAAATCTCTTGCCCACATTAAAAACAAGTAGTTTCAGCAGAAAAACATTAATACAAGTTGAATAAAAATAAGGGCACAAAAGCTATGAGACAGAAAGCTCTGCCATCTGTCTCTGGGCTACAATCAAGGCCAACTAGAGCCTTGCACAGAGTTCAGTCATGTGTATGAAATCCAAAAATAAACCTACAATCTATACAAAAACAACATATGTTTGTTTTTGTAGCCTTGATTGCTATGTTTAAAAACCTAACAAGAACTTTTATATGGTATGAATTCAACAGTCTCCCCTATATACTGTACAGTGGTTCTTTCCCTCTGACCACAAGTTCCATTATTTCATTAATGTACAAATTTGAACATAATTTTTTGAGTTCTTCTTTACATATAAAAATAGTCAAAATATTAATTTCCCCTGCAAATATCTTCCAATAAATCTTGCTGCCTTCCCCCTTTTTTTGTCCACAATTCTTATGAGGAAACCTCTCGTACAATGATGAGTTCTACTGTGTTCTGGAAAGTTTTTAGCAAGGACACTGCTTGTCCATGTTCAATATTGATAAAACTGTAGCCATTAGCCTAGAGGAAAGAAGAAAAATGTCTTTAAGAAAAACATTTCATAGTAATTTATTTGCATGTGTACATTTAAATTTCTGCTGGTACTGCACAAACCTGGCAGAAAATAAGAATCATTCTGGAAATTTAAAACATCATGCAGACTTCTGGGCCTTAGCCCACATCTACAAAATTAAAATCTCTGAAGGTGGGACCCAGGAACCTGTACCTTGTCTATGTTTTCAGATGATTCTTATGCAGCAACCCAATGTTAGGAAGCACCTGGCTAAAATACAGTGCCAGGCATGGTGTTATGTGTATGCACTAAAATATAAATGAGGTCACCAACATGCAAGGATACCAGAGGGCAAGGCCTACTCTTTCTATTGCCTTAGACCAGCAGGTAAACACTACATTTCTAATAATTTAGGCTTAACATTGATTGAGGTCTTACTACATACCAGACACATAGTTCTAAGTGCTTCACATTAATTAAATTCTTTAATTCTTGTAACAAACAAAAAGATTCTTTCATCTTCTTATTTTTAAGAAGTTAACATTCCTGAACTTTAACAAAATGCTAAGATATACTGAATATGTATTAAAAAATATCCGTGGTTTTTCCAAGGTTCTAGGAAGAAATATGATCAACTATGAAAATATTAGAAAGTGGCCCATAAGAAATGCCACTATTTTCATCCACAAATATTTAGTGATAACCTTCACAAAAGGATTATTTTAAAAATCTGACATTTAATAATTACTTGATGAGAAAGCAGATCTTATAAAATGAAAAATTAAGAAAATAATAAAAAGATGTATCTTAGTTACCTGAATAATTTTATCCCCTGGTTGTAATAATTTTGATGCTGGTCCTTCAGGCTGTACCCTTGTTACAAATATACCCTTTAATAACAACAAAAAAGATAAATACTTAATGGAAAACAGTATGCATCAATGACAGAATAACAAGGAACAATTTTTCTTTGACAGCATATAAATACTTGAATCATAGCACAAGTTTTCTCACCATCTTCTCTGAATATTGTTATTTTTGGTGCTGGTAATTCTGACTTGAGTATAATGACTTCTCTTAAAGTACAGATGTGCAGAAATGTAATAAGCAAATTTAAAAATCACTTCACAATGTAATGAACATTTAAAACGGGGGGTTTAATTTGTTTTCCTCAAACAATTAATTTGAAGTGATCACATTTCAAAACAGAAAGCTGAACAATACAGAGAGAAATAAAAAAGGTGGTATCTGTCTACATTTACTTAAGTATCTGTTAGATTTTTACTTATGTACAAGAGACATTAAGTAGTGAATAAAACCTTATGAGAATCTCAAGGACATATAAACAAACTCACGTCGTCTTCAGGTCTGAATGGATTTCCTCTGCCCCCAACACCTCCTGATATGCTAAATCCAAGTTCTGGATCCTTTTCAACTCTCACTCGAATCTGAATTAATGTGAAAATAAACTATTACTAATATTTCAGAAAAAGCTACAACACAGTATTTAACTATAGGTAAAATATATAAAGATTCATCTAAAATAAATATTCAGCTAGATGAAGGGAAACCATGACATGTTAATGGGTTAGTGAGTTAAAGGCACAGCTAGGATTATAAAGCATAGCTCCTAACTTATTCTATTGCTATTTTACAAGGATACGCAACCGATTTACTATTGACCCTATCTTTTTTTTTTTTTAAGGTATCATGGATTTTAATGATATGGAGCACACACAGTTACTATCAACTCATTACCAGTTTCCATCTGTAAAACATCTAAATTACATAGTATCACTGTTTATTGGGTGCTTCATAAGATATTTAAAAATCCCTGGGTGGTTGTTAAATATCAACTCATTTCCTGAACCCATTTATATGCTTCCAAGACATTGGAACTGATGATCAGCTGATAATATTTTTATAACCATGCTATAAAAAAAGATCAAGAACTAAACTTGTTACAAAATACTCCTTTTCCCAGAGACTAAACCAAAACGAACAAAGCACATGTTCTCTACCTCAATTTCTAACAGTACTATTTTATCAATAAACTATAAAAACATATAAATGTATGATTAGTCACTTTTTACGTACTTTGGAAGACTGAATTCTCAAAATAGTTTGGAGTATAGTCAAATTTCAAACTCTCAGTATCAAACAACAATAGTAAACCATAATAGGCCAGTCACGTTTCATGGTTTACTATTCATATTCCTGAAGAATATCTAATTACTGGAGTCTCATCAAATGGTTTTTTATAAACAACCACCTTAGGAAAAAAAAAATCACATCCAAAACCCTGAATCCTATGTCAACTAATCAGAACACAGGGGATCATGGAGTCAAGTTAAACCATTAAGTTTGACACCGTATAAACTTAATATGAAACCAAACCTTTCAACAAATTGGTAAAACTATGTTAAAATTCTATATGGATTTGTTGCTAACAGTTAAATATCCTATGAAGTACATTAAAAGCTTAGTTTCATAGTTCAAATATTCTTGATTATTCTTACCTCTTGCCTTGCCAGTTCATGGCCTTGTCTAGGAGGACAATGGGGCTGTGTATATGGAGGCTGGTGGGCCACCTTCAGCATCAAGTAATCAATTAGTTGTTCTCTAGAGGGATGCCTTGCCACAGAAGCCTGAGGAAGGGGGTGATGTATTTGACTATAATTTGCCTGAGGCCTGAGGGGCTGGCCCATCTGTCCATTAATCAAAGGCATCTAAGAAAAACACGAAGTGTCTTAAAATGACCAACAATAATCTCTCATTACAAATATCTGGATTTTCTTCTTGGAGCATTATAAAGCACTAGAGTTTAACATTCTAAATCACACAATATCAAGCCACTCACACTATTTTTTTCTAATTTTGCAGTTTTAAAAGAAAAAAGCTATTAATTCTAAACTTGCCTGAACGCTTGCAGATAGATTCTCACTCTTTAAAGGTTTCAAATGAAAGGAAGTACTTTAAAATTTAAAATTTTAACATTTAAAATTATCTGCTTTTCTGTTCAATATACATGGACCTATTTTTCTTATAGTAACCAAATGTTAAAATGGTAATTATGTCAAAATTTTAAAATTTAAGCCCATTAAAAGGGTAAATTTTTCCATCTCACATATACACAGAAGATGCATTTGTTCATGTTTTCTTCTGAACAAAAGTAGCAATTTCTGTGGTAGGATTTTTTTCCTAATCTGACTCTATTTCCTTTTATTTGTTTTTTTTCAGAATTAACAAGTTAATGCTGCTATAGGGTAGAAAACTAATTTACTTCTTGAGTGTGTGTAACAGTTGGCAACTTTTAAACTCTCTAAATGTTAGTTCCATAAACCAGTAATCACAAAATTTAAACCTTAACATTCTATTTTACTTTTCGCAAGCTACACAAAAAATCTGAGATAAATATTTTGTTGTTAAAGAATTATCCTTGTTTTGGGGCACCTGGGTGGCTCAGTGGGTTAAGCCTCTGCCTTCAGCTCAGGTCATGATCCCAGGGTCCTGGGATAGAGCCCTGCATCAGGCTCCCTACTCAGCAGGGAGCCTGCTTCCCCCTCTCTCTCTGCCTGCCTCTCTGCCTGCTTGTGATCTGTCAAATAAATAAATAAAACCTTAAAAAAAAAAAAAAGAATTATCCTTGTTTTAATGCTTCTCATCGTTTACACTGAATCTGAATTTTACACTTAAAATCACCTTTGTGCAAATGTGGCTAATAATGTGTTATGCTAGTATGAGGAAACTATCTGAAAAATAAGTTTACATTTGGATTATAAATATTTGCATATAAAGAGATTGCTATATAGAAGTGGAAATATTTTTCAGAGATTAATCATTTAAAACTTATTGATTATCAATAAAAAGGTGATCTTATTACAAGTGAATTATAGAACTGTAAGAAATATTGAAAATTAAATTATCCCAAAAAATTATCCTAAAATTATCCCAAAGTAGAAAAGTTTGGGAAAAGATTATGGTAATTGTTTCATAACTACACGCTCTTGTTATATGAATCTTGCTGAAGGAAACAAAGAAGTTAGGCTTTAGTGAACATTTTTACTTTAAAAAGTTATCTTTTTCACTGTGTTACACTTCAGAACTTAGTTAATTCTGGACTTTGGAAACTTACAAAGTTTCCAACTGGAGATTTCTAACAGAACGCAAAGATATCATCACTCTATGCCAAATCTTGCATTGGTTGGAGAAAAAGTGATAAGGTACTCTATTATCCCTTTATCTTTAAAAAAAAAAATTGTGGTTGTTTACTAGTTGAACATTGTAGATTTGAAGCAATTATCTGGCAGGAGCCTTTAATTGGTTGTGTTGTCACTTTATTACTTATGCACAACTCTGTGGACTGCACTCACTCTCTCCAAGCTTGTATCATTTATTCCTGTGTGCAGATTCAATACTTTTCTTCTGGAGAAAATTTTCCAAACAATAATTACTTCTGACCCATGCTAAGACTGCCTGATACCTAGACTCTGAGTTGTACCTGACATTTTACATCAATGTTAAACATACCCATGGAATATATTAAGCTATCATTAGTAGATGGCTCAGGAGAATAAAAGTATGAAACAAACCAATAACCTAAACTACAAAATGCGATATTAAAAAGAAAAAGAAACTGAGTAACACAGCTCAATTAAAGAAAAACAGAAAAAAAGGGTAATATAAAGAGTTATGTAACATAAGTTATGAACTTATATGAACCCTATGTTATAGGGCTGGGTATCCACTCTCAAGAACAGTGTGGAAGTTTTTATAGAATACATTAAGTATGCTTCAAAACTGTATTGGGCTATACTAGGAATATGGAATTAGGAGAAAGAACAGCTGAGAGAGAATATTAAAGGAAAGAATTATCAATCTGGTGCTGGTGACAGAAAAGTAAATTTTCTAAGTGATGCTTTAGTTACAAAAGCCATAAGAATATGATCATCAACTACTCTACCACATACAAAAAGTCTTCCAAGATGATTTCTGATTACATTTAAAGAATTTTAAAATGCCTTTAATAATAGTAAAACATCCTCAAATGAAGAATTTAAGACAGGTTCATTTTTAATTCTCCAAAAGGTTTGCTATCAGGATGCTAAAAAGCCTGACTGAAACAATAAAATAAGCAGATGATAGTAGAGAAATAAAGAAAAAAAAAAACAAAATAATTTTCCACAGTGGAAAAAAAGCATTGACTAAACTATGAAATAACAGAGTAAAAATCTATTTCATATTTCCTAATTAGTTCTTAAAAATCTTTACTAATCAAGGAGGAAAAGTCCTCAAAACATTATTTTCACTGTTAAAGCATAGTTATTTCCAGTTCAAAAGCTATAAAACAAATTCAAAGAGATGTATTCATTTATTTCCTGAACACCTACTTTCATCAAGCTGTCTGGAGGAACATCTTTGTGACTAAGTGTAGCTGACGAGTAGTTCGGCTGTCCTGAAAGGAATAGATCATCTTGACAAGGATCTCCTGGACAGGCTGTCTGGGGATGCTTCAAATGAGGGGAAAATAAAAAGTAAACAAATAATGCTCTTTCAGATGTGAAACCAAAATGATGATGATGACAATTGAAAGGAGATTAGGAAAAAATATTATAGGTAGTGGAAAGATGAAGAACCAAGTCAAACATTATGATCATAACTGCCATCAATACTAGTACCTTTATGATGGACATTAACTAAACTTGTTGTATATATATATATATAATCATTATGATGTACACTTTGGACTAACACCATATGATATGCCAATTATATCTCAATAAAACAGGAAAAATATCTCAGTACATTTAATACTGTTAAGCTATTTCTTCACAATGTTTTTAGTTTTATTTATGGTAATACCTAGCTTTTAACAATGTGAACAATTTAGTTATTAATAAAAGTTAAAAGTCCCAAATTTTAAGAGCAACTAAAATTTACTCCTATTGAGTACTACAAAAAGTTTTTTTTCCCCTTAAAAAACCCCCAAAACTGCTATTCTTTTAACTGCACAGTGCCACCGAGATTTTCTTATTAATGATGGGCAGTACCAATAAACACACAGTCTTCTAAAATTCACTTTAGCTTAATTCTATCATACTAGTATTGGGCAGCTCAGTATTTTTAAAACCAATGTTTTGATGAATTTTTTAAAAATTAACTAGAGTTTGTATTTTTGTATGTCAATAATATCCTTATAGTTTGCCTCACTGATAGCTTTAGAGAAAAAGACAAACTCAATAGCTCATTGTCTCTGAATGTATTTTTTTATAATATGCTAGGAAGCAAGATGCCCATACTTTTCATTTTAATTTAGTTCTAAACACACCCAGCTATATTTTTTAAAAACTGAAGGGACTGTGATAAATAGCACTATTGTTACTTTTAAAACAATATGTGGCTAGCAACATAGCTATGTATACATTACATCATCATTTTGAAAAATAATCTGAAATCTACTTCATTATGATATGCCACAGGATACACATAAGCCTAAGGGCTTTGTGACTTAATCTTAGAAACTTTATCTGCAATAGAGCTATCATGTGCAGTTTGCTGGTTCAAAGCACTGATTAGCATTTTTAGATTTGATTTGATCTAATTTTGTGTATTTATACAATGAATATTTTGCCTTCCTTCCCCATTTTTGAGATGTGCTTTTGGAATGCACAGTAATCAACTTAGGTCATAGCTTGAAGTTTAAATTCAAGTCTGAATATATAACCTTATCTAGTTTTTAAAAGAACAAATATGTTTTGAATGAAAAAGCAAAATGCAACAAAGTCAAAGGCTATGAGTTTAAGAATAATAAACAAAAAAATATCACTGTTTAAGAATTTGGAAAGAACAATCGTTCCAGATGACAATAAAGATTATTCGAGTTAATAAAAGCCCCTGGTCTTCAATCTGTGGTTTCAGCTGGAAAGAGTACCAGAAACTCAGGGCTTAATAGCTATCATTCTTCTCTCTCCATTTCAAAGTGATAAATTACAAAACAGTTGCTAGGACTCTAACATAGAAACAGATGGCACAGCAAGAACGGTGAGGTCCAGCTACAGCAAAGTGAATCTGGGAGACCACTCTTGTCCTAGAACACAACAATGCAAAGCCAGCAGTGTATTAAAAAGGGGTTGGTGATGAGGACCCTTGGGATAAGGCAAGGATCCAGAAGTAAGCAGAGTCAGTATGGAAATAAAACTAGGGGAAAGAGACAAATAATGTAGTAGGAGGAGAAAAATCTTTTCAGAATGGAAGGAAAGGGGAAGAAATAAATATTTATTTATAGGCCATGCTACCACCTTAAGTTGTTATGAAGAGAAAAATCTTAAGAGACATACCAGAGTTGTTCAGTTCTTTCTCCTTCTCTGCCATTCTTATCACCTACCCTTAACTTTAATTAGAAGAATAAACCTTCCTTCTTCATCATTAATGACTATGCTGAAACATGTATAATAAAGGATTTGGGTTTTGCCTTTTCATTGGTACTTATTACAATTTTTCCAGCCTTGTATTTAATCATATTCAGTGAATTGTGATTAAACTTACTTCCATGTAGTGATTCTCATTTGCCAATTCTAAATTACTAAACTAAAAATTATTCTTCCCCACAACACTTCTGTGTACTACATATATATAGTACAGCCTTCAAACTTGAATTTTGGAGACTAGCAAATTTTATTAAGCAAAAACACCACAAAGCATAATAATTAAAAAAAACAACAACACTTGGTTATTTTGATTGCTCATCCCTATTTACATAAACAAGAGTATATTACATCCTTAGTTTATAACCAAAGAAACTTAAGTGATAAATACTAAATCAGCTTTGCAGGGAGTTTTAGAATTAAGCCATGGAAGAACTAGAAGGGTAATCAAGATATCTAACCCACCATAAAAACTTATTTTCTAGAAATGTGAAAACATTAAAATGTGGGTTTTTTTTCTTTTTCTTCTGTGTACTGAAAGTACTGGTCTACTGCAGGTACTCACTCGAAAAATGTGCCCACCAGAACCTCTTCCGTCTGCAACACTCAAGGCAAGGCTGCCTTGGCTGCCATGCAGATCCCTAGAGCTGCCATAGTGAAAGTTGCTTACAGCAGTAAAATTGGAATTAAAGGACCTTGACAGCATGCTCTGAATAAAGAGGGGATAGATTTAACAGAGATTAGTGTAGCATGCAAAATTCACAAGACATGTTATGTACAAAGATGTATTTATAAGTAACCCCAATACCACGCAGGAATATCATGCATCAAATTTTAAGTGCCAATGCAAGAAATTGGCACTATTTACCATATATTTACATGACAACATACACATATACACATAAAGTACATGTAAATCCAACCATTCACATGTTTAAACACTAAAGAAGAAAGTACAAGCATACAGTGGCTTTTACAATGCTATCATTTCCTTTACTCCTAACTCAAGAAGTTTGTCAGAAAAGAGAAACTGATGCCATACCTAGACGTATGTGTACATATGTAGTTATATATGGAACACAAGCTAATTTTTTTATAAAGATACATTTTACCAACCAGTTATTTCTAACTTAAACTGGATTTCTAGAGTCTGCTTCGTTTTATAGAATTTTATATCATTATTAAATAAATGGAGCATTTAAACATACATACATTCATAGCGTAAGTCTGCAAAACACACCTGGCTCCTGACCACTATAATTTCTAAAAAAAAAAATTACCTTAGAAATCTCCTTAGAAACATGTCTAAGGTAATTTCTTGAAAAAATTACCTTAGAAACATGTCTAAAGTTAGAAAAAAGTTGAGCATATACATAAAGTTTTAGGATTTAACACTTAGAAGGCTCTCACTGCTCTATAGTTAACGGGAAAAAAGTTAGACAATGCACTTGTAAAAACAGTTTCTCCCATTCATATAAATAGATACTTAAGATTTCATTTTAGGAGTTAGTGGCATTTGCTGCTTAAACTTGAAGAACCACTGATGAAATCCTTACACTGATGAATCACTTATCACCAATCCCAGAGCTGCCTGAGAAATGAACCTCAATAAACACAATGCCTGATTTTCATTTTTCCTGCTTATTAATCCCCAGAGCTGTTACATGCTTTTCCTTCGTGTGGAGTCTCTGAATATGAGGGTCTTATGGTCAAACCGAGAGCAACCACATTTTGAGCATGGCTTGTTATCAAGAAATACAGAAATGTCATAACAAGCATTTCTATATTACTACTAGGGAATACATATATGTTCTGCAGATTATGAAGTTGATCTCTAATACTAAGAAAACAATGTGCCAAATTACAATATACACTTTTTATTTTTGTGGATTCCAAAGTAATGACTAAAGAAAAAGCTAAACTTAACAGGCCATGCCGATGCTTTCCCAGACCATTTCACAAGCTATTAGGACTTGGCAGAGGAAATTCAGAGATACCAACAACATTTGATTATAATGTAAAAATAAAGAAACTATACACACAATCACACATAGAAACATAAACAACACACACTGATGTACTACACATAGTTTTAACATGTTCTTAACTTGAGTGGTCCAAATGACCCTTTTAAATTATATGGAGATCCTGGAACAAAGCTTTTTAGGACATCTTTGAACATATCTAAAGTTTTTGTAAATATGTCACTGACTAAGAAGGCTGAAGCTCAGAACAGGTCCAGGCCTGTGAATTCAGGCCTGTGCATAGACATCTACATAAAATTGCACCCTGCTGGGGCACCTGGGTGGCTCAGTGGGTTAAGCCTCTGCCTTTGGCTCAGGTCATGATCCCAGGGTCCTGGGATCGAGCCCCACATCGCGCTCTCTGCTCAGCGGGGAGCCTGCTTCCCCCCACCTCTCTCTGTCTGCCTCTCTGCCTACTTGTGATCTCTGTCAAATAAATAAATAAATAAAATTAAAAAAAAAAAAGAAAAATTGCACCCTGTCACAACACAACACATTTGTGCAGAGCTCAATTAAGGAATATGTCCTGGGCACTGCTATTCACTACATGCTAATAATTGTATAGTAGCAATTAAATGTGGAAATTATCCTATTATGTTATTGATGTTCTGGTTGAGTGCTTCTTACCAGAATTATTAGTTTAATTAGATAAGTCTTCAGAAGGATAAGGTGAGATCTATTTATATGTTTGGGTTCCAGGTACAGTTTGTTGCAGGGAAGGGAAGGAGGAGTTACTAAAAGAAGGTTAAAAAACCAAGTAAACTGCAATAACTTTTTTTTTTTTTTTTTTTTTTTTTTTAAAGGAGGGCAAAGTAGCAACTTTTGATTTGGGGACTTACTTCTAGAGGTGGGGCAGGCATTGTGAAATATTTTCAAATATCTACCAGACCATAAGAATTATGTTTGGGGGAGGAAAAGGAATTGCAGAGAAGCAAACAGATTCTCCGTCACCCTCCATCATTTTTAACCAATGCTTTCAAGTTTGGTAGTCTAAATCATGTTGCTCTGTGTCCTCACAAAGCTTTTCTTAGTTTCACTGGACTAATCCTCACCTCTAAATTACCCGTGGGCAAAACTGGGAAAGTACTGTCATGTACTCCTGAAGTAACTGAATGATCAATTTCTAAATATAAAAAGCAGAGAGGTACAATGAACAAAGGGTAGCTGCTACTTGCTTCCTATTTACTCAAGTCTAGGTACATCTCCATCAGACAGGGAAGTACTGGGAGAACAGGCACCTGAGATATCAACTACACAGAATATAACGATAACCAAACTCATCTCTTCACCAAATCTGATCTTCATTCTCTATGCTGGCATTTCCAACAAACAGTTATTCAAGGTACCACTCAAGCTTAATTCCTTTTCCTCAGACACTGACTAGAGGAATATTCCAATCACAAGCAAACTATTCTAGAGTCTGTTTCGAAACTGTCTCTTGAATTCTTGCCTTTGTCTCAATTCCATCAATACATTTCTTATTTTTAATCAACTTAACTATAGCCTCTTCCTTCTCTTCAAAACAAAGCAAAGCAAAACAAAACAAACCTATAGCCCTTCCTCCTTCTAGTTCCATAATAACTCCAGGAGTTTATTTACAAAATGGCGATGGTACTCCTTTACTTAAGAAATTTCCAAATTCTTGGGGCACCTGGGTGGCACAGTGGGTTAAAGCCTCTGCCTTCGGCTCAGGTTGTGATCCCAGGGTCCTGGGATCAAGCCCAAGTCGGGCTCTCTGCTTAGGGGGGAGCCTGCTTCCCCCTCTCTCTCCGCCTGCCTCTCTGGCTGCTTGTGATCTCTGTCTGTGAAATAAATTAATAAAATCTTCAAAAAAAAATGAAAGTAATTTCCAAATTACTTAGAAAAAGCACACAAGTTCGAAGAGCCTGAACAATAAGTACAGCTACAGCTGAGACAAAATGGATGAGTATGATTCAAGGCCATTAGATGTTCAGCTATTTTAAGGTGATAGTATTGAAAAGAGCTAACAATTATAAGCAGAGGTTCATGTGAATTGATACATGGTACTAATCATATTTTAGGCATTCATTTTTGAAAAACTGGACTTAAGGAAGTTTTTTAAATGACTAATTGAGGTTGTATACATTTAGCTGTTTTTACAAACAAATAAGCTAAACATGCTCTTAAGTTATTTTACCAATGACTTCCAAACTTCATTAGAGCCAAAGACATCTGAGTTTAGATAGGTCAGAAATGCAGTTCAGGAAAGTCAAGAGTAAATGCCATGCCAGAAGCCATCTGTGTCAGTGACAGTGTTAGTCTTAAAACATTGACTGGGAAAAAAAAATCTTAGATAAAATATTTACATTTAGGATATTTCTTGTTATTCTGCTAATTATATAGTAAGACTACTATTTTCATACACATAGTTACATAACCAGTAATTATTAATAGATGAGAGCAGGAGATCAGAAAATGCTAAACAGAGGTACACATGTAGATGCATGTATTATTTACAGTATGTATGGCACAGTCTAAAAAAGATATACACTAAACATATGAAATGAATTTCAGCTTATCAGAAAACACTGGGGAGTAAGAAACAGAAAAGAAGCATATCCTACCATCTCAGTTGTTTTGAGTCTAAGTCTAAACTTGAACTCTGTTGTAAGTACCAAGAATAAAATCCTCAAATATAAGTATATATTCAGTAATTCAGAGTATCTTGTTTCACCTTAAGAAACAAAGAATACCAAATATTTTTAAGAAAAATAAATTTATAGAAAGGAAAATAAAAAATTCATATTTAATTACCTTTTCTAACTTTTTGGCCTCGATGTGCCGTAGTACTTGTTCTCTCCAATCATGAGGAACTTTACTTTTTCCTGGAGGATCTAATAAAGAATGCTCAGAACCAACCCTTGCATTTGGTCTTTTTGAAGGACTAGTCCGTGAATAATTAAAATCACTAACAGACATAGTTCTCTCTGGTATTTCACTAATGGAGGGTCGAGCACTCTGAGGCCTTGATGTATTTGGACCATCGATGCTATATGTTCGTGCAGAAAGAGGTCTCTGTGATCCTGACATCACTGGAGTTCTTCCCACTGAATGTAACTCTCTGTATGATAAATATTCTCCTTCAGGAATCTGGGCCCGCCTTGTGGGACCTGATTCACCAAGATTTACAGAAGCTGTAGAGGAAACACTACTTTGTCGCTGAATGGCAGTTCGAGTTGCTCCAGGAATGAGTCGGTCGTTTGGTGAGATTGCCCACATTTCCCCGTGTCTTCCTGGACCAACCCTCTGATGTAAATGGTATCCAGTATTAGCCCGGACATTGTTATGGTTAGAGAAATTCATATTGGCAGAATGTTTAGCATAACTATGACTTTCTGTGCTCTCTGATCTAGGAAGGCGCTGAGGAGGAAAACCGACATGATCTATTTGGGGATTCTGTTTGGTGTGCCACAGAGTGTCCTTAACAGCAGCACTGCTACTGTACTGGATGTTATACTGAGGAGGACCGTACATCTGAGGCATAGGTTGTGGGCCACTTACTGTGGGGCTTCTTATTATATTTGGCTCTTCAGGATTATGATTTGAATCAAATTTGAAAACTGCCTTTGTACCTGATATTAAATCAGTAGATGAAGAAGAACCAGTAAATACTTGCAATGGTTGATCATACAAAAGTGTAGCAGACTTGCTCCTGACAATATTTTTTCCATCAATAGTAGATGTTACTTTAATTGTTGCACTTGGCTGCTGTGGTCCATTATCACTAAGAATGTCATAGATTTTTAACCCTCCAGTCTCCATATTAGTTATACTATGAGATTTCACAACAGATCCAATTGGCCCACTTCTCTGAGGAGAGAGATCTTCAGTGCTTTTGGAAACACCCATATCAACAGAAGAATCAGTGTCATGTGGTTCAGTCCTCCTAGCAGACTGTGGAGTTTCCTCAGAATGTCCATTTATCTTATTTACACATTCCAAATTAGGATACTTATTTCCATTTTCCAAGGGCTCAGCTTCTCTTTTAGCATTAATGCTTAAAAAGTCTGTTCCAAGCACTATATCCTGTGTCTTTGATCTTTCCACTATCTCTGGTTGAAATGTATCATTAGTTACAAGTTTATTAAGATTCATATTGATATGGTCTAGTTTGTGAGATTCATCAGATGTGGCTGCTGAGTCAACACTTTTCTCAATAAGAACCAATCGCTCTTCAATATTCAAATCATATTCAGATAAGTTAATGTCTTTTTTATCATGAAGCTGGAATTTTTCTTCTGTTGAATGATTTAAAATACCTCCGTTTTGTAAAAGGCTGTTAAAATTTTCATCTTCTTGTCTAAAACAAAGATAATTTTATCACAAACATCATAAAGCTCAGTTTTTTTCTTTTTTTAAAATATTTTATTTATTTATTTCACAGGGATCACAAGTAGGCAGAGAGGCAGACAGAGAGAAAGAGAGAACGAGAGAAGCAGGCTCCCTGCTGAGTAGAGAGCCCGATGCAGGGCTCGATCCCAGGACCCTGTCAAATAAATAAATAAAATCTTAAAATTAAAAAAAAAAAAAAGTAGGTTATACTAAAAAAAAACTTACAGAACTCAACAAGAAGTCAGTTTTTTGTTTTTTTAAAGATTTTATTTATTTGACAGAGATCACAAGTAGGTAGAGAGGCAGGCACAGAGAGGGGAGGAAGCAGGCTTCCTGCTGAGCAGAGAACCCTATGCTGAGCAGAGAACCCAGGACAGGACCCTGGGATCATGACCTGAGCTGAAGGCAGAGGCTTTAACCCACTGAGCCACCCAGGTGCCCCAAGAAATCAGTTTTATTGTATGGTGATTTAAAAAATAAAACTAAACAATGCAGACTGAAAAAAATCTGAAGATCAAAAGCAAAACTAAATCTAATCACTCTTCTAAGTTATTTCACTGTATTTGGCAAATATTTATAAATGCGCTATTTTAAAATTACAGAAAACATTTTATTTCTGCTTGGTGGAAATAAACCTACTTATACTTCACACAAATATGAAATCATATTTGTGCCCTCTTGCATAAATATTCAAGTTATGTTTAACAAATATTCCTTAGGATTGATCTTCCCATTAGGTAACAGACTATATTCATTACAGAAATACAATAAAGTTGTGGATATACCCCTTTGATATCCTTTATTTCATTAAACAAAAAACATGATTTATAAAATATAAACTATTTCTCAACAAAATACTGGAAACATTACTTCAAAAATTAATCATTATCTTAACATCTAAGAGGTTATAAAAATTATTCTACTGCCACACTAGGTCTTAGCCTCAAATTTAGAGGGCAGAAATAATTAATCATAAGTATGTAATAGTTAAACTCATTTTGTGACATAAAATTCATTTTCCTTCTACAACAACACAAATCAGCACAAACAAAATTTGACTTAACTGTGTCTGGAATTTAAGAACCATTTTATTCTAAAAAGTTATCCATACAGTAAGCTTTGGGTTCAGTAGTAACCCAAATCTTTCTAATAAGCACCTAGCTGATACATTAACATGAAGGTGAAACAACACATCTTATTTTGATAGCCAAGTATTTTGAAAGCCCAAATAACAGTTGTTTTAAACTTCAGCTAATTTTAGCCTATAGGAATTAAGTCTTGTTTAGAGTCTGACCTACAAATTTGGGACTAATTCAAAGATACAGAAGTAGTTAAAAGTACTGAATGCCCTTTAATGGCACTCTTCAAAAATGAGTAACAGGGCACCTGGGTGGCTCAGTGGGTTAAGCCTCTGTGTTTGGCTCAGGTCATGGTCTCAGCGTCCTGGGATCGAGGTCCACATCAGGCTCTCTGCTCAGAGGGGAGCCTGCTTCTCACTCTCTGCCTGCCCCTCTGCCTACTCGTGATCTCGCTGTCAAATAAATAAATAAAAATCTTTTAAAAAAAATGAGTATCTAAAAAATACCCATTTCAACTTGAATTACTCTAAACAAGCTGTTTGTTTTAATATCTAAAAATACTGTTATAGTGTCCAATTTTTTAATGAAGAGAATTAGAATATTTTAAATTCTTTCTTCCCCATTTTTAAAAAAGTTTTTTTTAGTAATCTCTACACCCCATATGAGGCTTGAATCCATGACCTCAAAATCAAAAGTCACATGGTATTCCAACTGATGCAGCCAGATGCTCTTTTTCTTCCCCACTTAAAAAACTATTACAAATGGAAACGTAGCAAACCTAAGTAAGTAGTGATAAAATGGGGAAGAAATCATACACTACCTGAACTACTTCTATAATATTAATTTGTGAAATCTGGTTTGTTTTAGTCATATATATTTATTTGCCTTATTATCTCTATTGTATAAATAAATTATTCTACTAAGATGTTCACAAACCTGATTTTGGAATTAATACCAATATGAGTTTGTTTCATTGGAGAGCAGAGTGAGGTATCTTGACTACTATCAGTGTTAAGAGAAACTGAATCAGACATCCGAGATGGAGAAGAACAGTTGCTGTTATTCTGATTGCTATTGTGTGTAACTTCATCCGATAATGAATCTGTATCCTTTGTATCATCTGAAACAAAAAAACTTAAGCTATTGATAAAGTCACTAAGGATTTGCGTTTAATACTTTGCAGTAATGACAAATGACATTTATATTGTCCTGGTTCAATATATAAAGAATTCTATGATTAGAAGATAAATAAAAGCACTTCTGAAAATTCAGTCCTAATATACACAAAGATTAAATAATTTAAAACTCATGATACCTTTAAGTTTTTGACAAATATAATATATGTTAAGATTATCCAGAATTTGATTCAGTTTTAACTACTGACAAGATTATATTATACAAAGTTTTTCTAAGGCCATCAATTAATTTTAGTGAATAAGGCTCTTCCACTCATTCACAATATTTTATTCAGTAGGACCTACACCCAACGTGGGGCTTGAATTCACAACCTAAAGATCAAGAGTTGCATACTATATTGACTGGGCCAGCCAGGTACCCCCTCATTCACAACTTCAAAAAGTCATAAAAACAAAGAATAAACAGTACAGTTCATAGTTCACAGCCTAGATTTGTAAATTTATCTGGGGAAGAAATTATTTCATGTAAGTATGGAGTTGTTATCATCTATTCTGAAAATAAAAATGGGCAATACAATTAAAAAAAACACCAAAGAAATCAAGAAAGTTCACATGGTAAGCTCTCTTCTGCTATTTTTAAACCATTTCAAAGAATTAGATATTAAAAAAATGATCAATATATGAGATGGCTTTTGTTTTTTATATAATCAGAAATAGACAATATTCATATGCCATTATAGGCAGGTACTATCAGAAAATATTATATTTTTAAAAGTAATGATAAAAAAGATAATAACTTGGGGCACCTGGCTAGCTCAGTCACTGGGGCATATTAACTCTTGATCTCAGGGTCATCAGTTCAAGCTCCAGGCTGGGAAAAAAGCTTACTTAAAAACAAAATGAAGAAACACAATAATTTAGTATCTTTACAACCCTGAAGACTGTTTTTAATGCAATTTTACCCACATCACAGAAATAGTATATACAGAGAGAGTAAAAGGAGATTATATGAATTAAAGATATTTTTTCTGCTCCAAATATCTTAGGGGCACAGTTTGAGTAGTCTGGATTTTCTTTACAGTTGGCAATAATAGTACATGGGGCTTTCTATACTCAACTTTAAGGTATCTGGGCGCTGGAGTCTTAATTTTTAAAATACTATTAAGCAAGATGGCTTTCTTTCCCAGATATTATTCCTTTCTTTCCTAGAGAAGTTCTTTCCTAGGTATTATTCCTCTTCTTCAACTTCCTTGTGCAGTTAGATAGTAATGGAAAATATTTAGCACAGTAAGCAGGAACTAGTAAGTACTCAGACACATATTGCTATCACTATTATTATGAAAACCAAACTATCTAGAGGCACCTTGACGTAAGTTTCATTAATGCCATAAAGGCAAAGACTGGATGAATATTTGGTAGAGATAATATAGACACGTTCAGGCACTGGGGGGAGAGTGAAGGAACGGTGAAAGGAAGGGACAGATATCCTTCAAGTTCCCTTTCATGTCTAAGAAGAGTCAAGAGATTCTATTACAAGAAAAAAAATGGCTGGGGTGTGAGGATGTTTTAAAAAGAGTTCCAGGACAGGTAAAATAACAAGCATCTATTCTACATCAGGTATTGTGCTAGATCTGAGTACACTGAATAATCTAGCACATTTGATACTCACAAACTCCTTCATTAGCCTCAATGTATGTCAAGTTAGAGAAGTTCATATGCATAAAATTAAGCAGCTCAAGAATTACCCAACAAATAAGCAGCAAAAACAGAATCACAAAACAGGTTTTTCTGTCTATAAAGCCCATGCCCTCATACATAACCTTGCATGAGGGAAGAGAAAATATCTAATAAGGGTCTTCTTTAAAAAACAAGAGGGATAAAGAACAGACCTTTTAGGAAGGCATATTTTAAAAATTGTTTCAAAAAAGTGTTCTAAATAATATAATGACATTTAATGAAATTTATTTTAAAAAATTATAAATTTGATAAATTCAGCCCATTTCTATTCCTAGTGCTTTCAACATCTAACCTTTTTTGTTATTACTAAGAGCTACCACTTTTGGCTGGTTAATAGAGCTTTCAATTAATGGTGGTCGCATCTCTGCCATTTTCATCTCTTCATCAGAAGAAAGTTCTTCAGATTCCTAATTTAAAGAAAGAAGAAAGTATTTAAAAAAACTTTGGTTTCTTTAAATAAATATATATTAAGTCATAAGAACTTCAAATAGAAAAGAATACTTAGAACATGGATGAAAAACCTTTTTATGGTAACAGCAACTAAAACTAGTATATAATTTAAGTTTTTCAAGATATGGCAATAAAACTGTGGCAATTATTAACAATATGTCAAAGTGGCTATGGAATAATACTTCATGGTAGGTCTTAATTCAAGTATATATATATATATTTTTTTTTAATTTTTATTTATTTATTCGACAGACAGAGATCACTAGTAGGCAGAGAGGCAGGCAGAGAGAGAGAGGAGAAAGCAGGCTCCCCGCTGAGCAGAGAGCCCAAAGCGGGGCTCGATTCCAGGACCCTGGGATCATGACCTGAGCTGAAGGCAGAGGCTTTAACCCACTGAACCACCCAGGCGCCCCTTAATTCAAGTATATTAATGATTAATATGTGCCGGTACTCTGCCAAGTGTTAGAGAAATAAAAATGAATAAAACACAATCTCTGTCATTGAAAAACTCAGTTTAGAGGTATTCCAACCAAAAGTCTCTTCCTAATTCTCACATTTATTCCCTCCAAGATTATCAAGTTGCAAGGAGTTAGAAGGACTGAGGAGTTCTTCCATGGCAATTTTTGACCAATTTGAAGAGAGAATTTTTTATTATTCTCCATGGATTTTTCTCTAATATTTGACAAAAGTCCCAGATTATCTGCCACTGAGTGATTAAATGAAAGGGGGTAGTGAACAAAAAGACCTGGTGGTGAACAACTATTTATAGAAATATTTTAACATTGCAAAAACTGTATATAAAAAACAGAGCTTTTGCAGATTTAATTATTATACCAAATGATGAAAATAAATAAATAATATGATGAAAATAAAAACTCTTAAACATTGTTCTGTTAAAAGTACTAAGACTTCCAGTTACTCGTAGGTGACATAATAAAGATATGGACCAGGGTCAGAAAACTATCTCAGTAAAAAAGCCAGATCATAAATATGTTACACTTTGAGGCCCTTAAGTCTCTCTTTCAACTATTCAACTCTGCCACTGTGGCACTCAAGTAGCTACAGACAATATGTAAACAAATGCCTATGACTATGTGCCAGGAAAATTGAATTTCATCTAATTTTTCGCATGTCATGAAAGTGTCTTCTTCTGTTGATTCTTATTCAATACTTAATAATGTAAAAGCTGGGGGCGTCTGGGTGGCTCAGTGGGTTAAGCCTCTGCCTTCGGCTCAGGTCATGATCTCAGGGTTCTGGGATCAAGCCCCACATTGGGCTCTCTGCTCAGCGGGGAGCCTGCTCCCCGCCCACCTCTCTCTGCCTACTTGTGACATTTGTCTTTGAAACAAATGAATAAAATCTTTAAAAAAAAATAATGTAAAAGTTGTTCTTAGCTTTCAACCTATATAATGACAGGCAGTGGGCCAAACATGGGCCAAAGGTCATAGTTTGCCAAATCCTGTTCAGGACTGTACTACAATGGAAGACATTTCTAATTAGTAGAACAGGAAGAGAAAGTAAAGAGGGAAGGAAGAGAAGTCAGGGGTGAGGTAAGAGAGGAATGACATTCCACACAAATGAAAGCACAGAAATAAGAGAAGGTATGTCAATTCCATGTAGCTGGAGCTCAGATAACTGGCAGGAGACAGAAAAGTTAGATTGGACTGAAGAGGGAAAGGTTATGCTCTGAGTATGGACTCAAGTACATGCTGGTCACTACTGGAAGTTGCCAAGCCAGGAGTTCATATCAGGTTATCTTTCAAAACGGTAACTCTGATATTAAAAATGCATGGAAAGGGGTGCATGGTGGCTCAGTCGGTAAATGTCTACCTTCGGCTCAGGTGATCCCAGGGTCCTGGGATCACGCCCTGCATCAGGTTCCCTGCTCTGCGGGAAGCCTGCTTCTCCCTCTCCCACTCCTCCTACTGTCTCTCTCTGTGTCAAATACATAATATACATAAAATACTAAATAAAAAAAATCTTAAAAAAAAAATAAATGCATGGGAAGAGATAGAGAGCAGCAGAAAGGGACCTGGTTATCCTAACAGTCCTAAAGGAAAAAAAAAATTTATCTTTAGGCAATGGCAGTGATGGCTGATAAAGAAAAAAGGAATCTGATAGAAATTTAGGAATGAACAGAACCTAATGGTAGAATTAATGCACAAAGAATGAGAGAACAGGAGAAGGAAGGGCAAACGGTCTGTCCCAATTTTGATACAGACAGTACTTTCAACTGCTGAGCAGACTTCCTCCGATACTACACCTGACATCTGGGAGCTATGGCCTCCTACATTTCCTCCCACCTTTCTGTCTCCTGTGCTCAAGTCAACTAATGTTCCTGCAGTTAGCTCTTATTTTGTCCTTCCCCACTCTTCCCCTTTGGACTGCATTTTCTTCGATAGTTATGTTTAATGTAGATAATTCTTCAATTTATAATTTAGCTTTCATTTCTCTTCTGAGCTAAAGATACACATTTCCAATGACCTACTGAGTATGTCTAATGGATGGTCCTGTTAAGTGTTCAAATTCCACATATTGAAAACAACCTCTCTTAATACCCAAGTTCAGTTAATGGCATCATCCTATTCAAGCACAGTTGTATGACTATTCCCTCTTGACTCCTTATAGTCAGGGATATTTCTTTCTTTCTTTTTCTTTTTTTTTTTTTAAGATTTTATTTATTTATTTGTCAGAGAGAGAGAGAGAGAGAGCGAGCACAGGCAGACAGAGTGGCAGAGGGAGAAGCAGACTCCCTGCGGAGCAAGGAGCCCGATGCGGGACTCGATCCCAGGACGCTGGGATCATGACCTGAGCTGAAGGCAGCTGCTTAACCAACTGAGCCACCCAGGCGTCCCAGTCAGGGATATTTCATACTAAATCTCTTACATTCTTAAAACTAAGTTCCAGTCCACATTTCCTAGTATTATTATAAAGAGTATTTATATAAATGAAGTATTTATATAAATAAAGCCCTGAAATAGGGAAATTCAGTAGCTGTTGCCAGATAACCCTAATACATAGCTCTATCACAAACACTGCTCTGCTAAAACGCCTTCAGTGGCTTCTCAAAGACTACAGAACACTAAATCCAAACTTTTTAGCATGGCTTTCCAGAGCCTCATCATCAGGAGCCAAACTACTCTACTAATTTTGTTTCATTCTACCACCCCAACCCCATTCTACCTACACTCAGGTAGACGGAACATGTTCTTTTCTGCATTTCTCAAGTACCACCCTTTTGCTATCATTATTCCTTCCATATTTTATTCAGTTCTCCTATTTCTGTTATATGAAAATATTACAATATACAAATTAAACGGCTCCTTCACCGTAAAGCATCCATGGTTGTTCCTAGCCAGAAAATATCTCTTTTCTAAATTTATGTAGCACTTACTGTTTTTATCAGTACTTTTCTTATACACTCAGCACCGTCTAGCCTTGATTGTATCTATATACCCATATATCTATTCTGCCACCATAGCTCAAACACCATGCCTTATGCATAGAAATCATACAAAATCAAGTATTAAATTCACTGGGACAAACCTAATAATCTTTTCACAAACTATGTTGTATTCGGTCCAATGTATATGATAAGTATATGGAATAATGTGATCCATTTAAAGTATATTCACAAACCATGAGGTTTCTTTCTAGTAAGTGAATACCAGCTTAATGGATAATCTTGAAGACAGAGGACATGCTTTGAATGCATTTAAATTTTTCAGGAATAAAGATGCTACTATGAACCCACAATACCACTTTTTCTATATACCAGTGCTCTGCAAAAGAACTTTCTATAATGATAGAAATGACTGGTCTGTGCAGTTCAACATGGTAACCACTAACTAGCCGGACATAGCTACTGATCACCTGTAATGTAGACTAGTAAAACTAAGAAACAGAGTTCTTACCTTTATTTACTTAATTTAAATAACCATTTACAACTAGTGGATACATAATGGGCAATATAGCTATAAATCAAAAACACTTCAGAATTTCATTTTGCAAAGTTAGAGCTTTACCATTTTACATTATCTTCAGCAGTGTATGAGAGGAATGCAAAAAAAGAAAAAAAAAAGGTGCAGCTACTTCTGGAAAACTCTGGCATTTTCTCAAACAGGTAAACAGAGTCACTGTATGATTCGAAAGTTTTACTCTTAGGTATATATCCAAGAAAAAAAAAAAAGAAAATATTTACTGACACAAAAACTTGTATGCAAGCATTCACAGTGGCATTACACACTATAGTCAAAATGTGGAAATAACCAAAATGTCCATCATTATTGATACAATGGAGTATGTATCAATGGTCAAATCTATAGAGGCAGATAATCAGTACATAAGATGCTAGGGCTCAAGGGAATGGAGAGGTTGTGGGGAGATGGCTAAAAAGTACTGGCTTTCTTTTTTGGGTAACAAAAATGTTCGAAAAGTAACTGCAGTGAAGGCTGAACAACTTTTAGTGTATCAGTAGCCACTGAATAAAGGGTACAACCTTTATTTAAATGGGTGAATTACATAGCATGTGATCTATGCCTCAAAAAAGCTGTTTAAAAAAAAGTTACAGCTTTTATTGATCTACTAGAAGAAACTCTTAAAAGAAAGTCTCAGACTCCACCAAAAAAATACTAAAACTGATAAATGAATACAGAAAGTCACAGGATACAAAAATCAACATAGAGAAATTCACTGCATTTCTGTACACTAAAAATGAAGTAGCAGAAAGAGAAACTAAGAAAACAATCCCATTTACAACTGCATCAAAAATAGTATCTAGCGGGGGTGCCTGGGTGGCTCAGAGGGTTAAGCCTCTGCCTTTGGCTCAGGTCCTGGTCTCAGGGTCCTGGGATGGAGCACCACAGCAGGCTCTCTGCTCAGCGGGGAGCCTGCTTCCCCCTCTCTGTCTTGCCTGCCTCTCTGCCTATCTGTGATCTCTCTGTGTCAAATAAATAAAAATAAAAATAAAAATAAATCTTAAAAAAAAATTAGGTATAAACTTAATCAAGGACGTTAACTCTAAAAACTAAAACTCTGAGAGAAGAAACTGAAGATGACACAAACAAATGGAAAGATACCCCATGTGCATTGAATGGAAGAACAAATATTGTTAGAAAGGCCATATTACCCAAAATCAATGTACAGATTTAATGTAATCATATTGAAATACCAACAGCAATTTCCATAGAACTAGAACAAGTAACCCTAAAATTTGTATGGAACCCCAAAGACCTGAAATAGTCAAAACAATCTTGAAAAAGAAGAATGAGGGGGGGTGTTTGGTTGGCTCAGCTGGTAAAGCATGCAACTTGATCTGAGGGACATGAGCTCAAGCCCCACCTTAGGCATGGAGCCTACTTAAAACAAAGTAAGAACAAAACTGGAGGTAGCAAAATCAAAGATTTCAAGATATACTACCCAAAGGTATAGTAATCAAAACAGTATAGTATTGGCACAAAAACAGAAACATTGATCAGTGGAACAGAACAGAGCCCAGAAATAAATCCATGATCATCTGGGTCAATTCGTCCTCAACAAAGCAGGAAAGAATATCCAGTGGGAAAAAGGATGTTTTTTCAACAAATGGTATTAGGAAAACTGGAGAGCAACATGCAAAACAATGAAACCGGACCACCTTCTAACACCATACACAAAAATAAACTCAAAATAGATTGAGAACCTAAATGTGGGACCTGAAACCATAAAAATCCTAGAAGAGAGCACAGGCAGTAATTTCTCTGACATTGGCCACAGGAACATTTTTCTTTCTCTTTTTCAAGATTTTATTTTTACATACTCTCTCCACCCACTGTGGGGCTCAAACTCAAAAACTTGAGATCAAAACTTGCACGCTCTTCCGACTGAGCCAGCCAGGTGACCCAGAACATTTTTCTAGATGTGTGTCCAAAGGCAAGGGGAACAAAAGCAAAAATAAACCATTGAGACTACATCAAAATAAGAAAACTTCTCCACAGCAAAGGAACCAATTAATAAACTAAAAGACAACTTACTGAATGGGAGCAGATACTTGCAAATGAGACATCTGATAAAGGGTTAGTATTCAAAATACATAAAAAACTTGTAAAACTCAATACCAAAAAGACAAATAATCTAAATTAAAAAATGGGCAGAAAACATGAACAGACATTTCTCCAAAGAAGACACAGAGAGGGCCAACAGACACATGAAAAGGATCTCAACATCACTCATTATCAAGGGAATGCAAATCAAAAATCACAATGAAGTATTACCTCACAACTCTAAGAATGGCTAAAATCAAAAATAAGAAACAACAGTGTTGGTGAGGATATGGAGAAAAGGAACCATCCTGCACTGGTGGTGGGAATGCAAACTGGTACAGTCACTGTGGAAAAAACAGTGTGGAGGTTCCTCAAAAAAATAAAAAATAGAATTACCATATGATCCAGTAATTCTACTACTGGGTATTTACCCAAAGAATATGAAAACACTATTTTGAAAAGATATATGCATCCTGATGTTTATGGCAGAATCAATTACAATAGTGAAAATATGGAAGCAGTGTCCATCGATAAGGAATGGATAAAGAAGATGTGGGATGTGTGTGTGTGTGTATCTATCTATGTTGCTACAGATGGACAGATAGATATACTGGCATACTACACAGCCATCAAAAAACAATGAAATCTTGCCATTTGGAACAACATGGATGGCTCTAGAGAGTATAATGCTAAATGGAAAAAGTCAGTCAGAAAAAGACAAATACTGTATGATTTCATTTGTATTTGGAATCTAAGAAACAAAACAAATGAACAAATAAAGAAAGAGACAAACTAAGAATCAGACTCTGAACTATAGAGAACAAAGGTACCAGATGGGAGGAGGGTGGAAGAATGGGTGAAATAGGTGATGGGATTTAAGAGTGCTCTTGAGGAGTACTGAGTAATGTATAGAATTGTTAAATCACTATATTGTATACCTGAAACTAATAGAACACTGTATGCTAACTATACTGTAACTTTAAAAAAGTGTTAAGACATTCAAAGAAAAAAAAAATTTCACAATCAATGATAAATGCTTAAATAAGTGAAATAACTGAACTATACCTATGGCAATCTTCTCAATAAACAATTGAGATGATGTATATTAAACAGTTAGAATAGAACTACCACAATATAATTTACATAGCAAATGTGAATGCAATACAGGTTATAAAATTTTAAGTTCGAAGTGATAAATGAGTAATACTATAACAAATACCATGAAATTTCTCAAATGAGGTAGTGTATTTTCTGCTTTTGATTAACAGTTTTTTATCTTTAGTTAGGAATAATGAAATGCTAAATTCTTAAAAGTTGTTACAACTGTTCCAGAGAATAATCACAATGAAGTACCTCAAAAACATCGTCGTGATTAACAATATGCTTCAAGTTCTCAGAGGCTTTCATATTTGTAGTCACTGGTAGACTCTCAGGACTAATCTCAGCTTCAGATTCACTGGTCTTCTGTAAACAGTTTCCTATCATATACTTTTCTCTTTCATCAGCTTTGATTCTTACTGGAGTGGTACTTTCTGAAGTCTACGTCAAAGAAAACAAAGAATCCATATTCCTTAAAGCTCTGTATCTATTTTTGTACTATAGTTCAGATTAGAATTTAAAAGTAGGGTGCCTGTTTGCTTCCGTAGGAAGACTTTGTGAGTCCTAATATCAGGATCATGGGTTCAAGCCCCACATTAGGTGCAGAGATTACTAAATACATATATTTAGAGTGTGTTTGTGTGTATGTATGTGTGTATGGTATATATTTATTTAGGCCATATATGCTCATTTGGGGAACAGGTGGCCCCCAAAGGTTCATGAACCACATTAAACTTTATAATTTAGCTTAGGCTACATTTCACCTCTTAAACTGCAAAGCTGTCATTCATGAATGAGTCACTTAGCTCAGTAGGCTCAAACTCAGGCTGGTTAGACTGTTTTCTGCTGATTATAGAATGTATAGTAACTCTAGCAACATAAGAAAACGGTTTCTGTAATATCATGTGGGGGAACAAATTCCATGAAAGGAACACACACTTTAAGGATCGTTGTACATTTCTGAAACATCCCAAGGAAATAGTCTGTCATAGCAATTACATTTAAAATTAGAATTGGGTAGAGTGGGTCAATGTTAACAAGGGGAAAAAAAGTATTTCTGTAACGACAAATTTTCTGACATTCTTTAGCTTATCCTTGGTTCAGGCAAGATTTTTTAAAAACCTATGATGACGTTATCCTGCCCATATGGAAAGTCTGTAACCATACTGAAGTGTAATAATAGCAATCAGAGAGTTTGCCGATTATTTCAGCTTTTACTTCAGGTGGTGAGAACAACACCCTAAATTTGGGAGGACATTATTGTGTATACAAAAAGGACCATTATATCGATTATTCTTTCAAAGTTTTAAAAAGCTTGAGATAAGTTTTAGTCAATTCTTTTAAATTGAATTTTCTAACCTTCACACTCACATCATTATTTACAACTTGCTGATCTTCATGTGGTTTCAGTTCTTTTCCAGAATCTTCACAGGTCTCTTCATCTTTTAGTCTATGTACAATGGTTTGAACAGTTTTGACCATATTCTTAAGCTCATCTGGGTATGGTGTTGGATATCTCTTCAAATTTCCCTCCTAGAGAAATAAAATAAGTAAAATTTGAAATATGGATAAATTTTTCTAACATCAACCTCAAAATTTAACTATAACCCATTTTAATTGCATTGGTTATCTGGCTCCTGGGGGTAACTTTAAACACAGATGATAAGCCACTGAAATAATTTTATTTTATTTAAGATTTTATTTATTTGAGAGAGAGAGACACACACACAGAGAGAAAGAGAGAGAGAGAGAATGAGAAGGGGGAGGGTCAGGGGGAGAAGCAGACTCCCTGCTAAGCAGGGAGTCTGATGCAGGAATTGATCCTGGGACTCCAGGATCATGACCTAAGTCAAAGCCAGCCACTTAACTAACTGAGCCACCTAGGCGCCCCCTGAAAGCATTTTAGACAGAACAGAAGTATGGTTTTATCAATAGTGAAAGACTTCACAGTTACAGATTTAACTAATACTTTGAAAGCTTTTTTTAAAAGCAGACTAATATGTATTCCATTTTAAGATTTATGGTGCGGATATTGCCAACACTATCACTTGGCTTTGAAACAGGTATGTTTTCCAGCTAGATATTTTTCCAGACACATATAAAATTCCTACATTTATATACTGTCTTATGTGCCAGGAACCAAATACTTCCAAAGTCAGTCTAATTGCCATTTTTCTGGGATTCAGCTAGTTTATGTAAGGGCAAAATAATTATATCCACAAGTAATTTGGAAATGAATTATTTACTACTTCTGTCACTGCAACACAGATTCTCAAACCCATAAAGAAAAACATGTTCATAACAGAGTTCTTGATCCCTAGAATCTAAATAACAAATCATTAAAGAACGGGAAGAGGGAAAGCAATCACGTGTTTTTCTCTTATTTTATTTTATTTTTTTTTTTAAAGATTTTTATTTATTGATTTGACAGACAGAGATCACAAGTAGACAGAGAGGCAGGCAGAGAGAGAGAGGGAAGCAGGCTCCCCGCCGAGCAGAGAGCCCGATGCGGGACTCGATCCCAGGACCCTGAGATCATGACCCGAGCCGAAGGCAGCGGCCCAACCCACTGAGCCACCCAGGCGCCCCTCTCTTATTTTTATATTATGAAATTTGGCTTAAAATCACATAGTTTTATACTGTTCTTAAATTCTTTCACAGGACATATGTGTGGAATCAATAAAACTTCAAGTGCCTTGAGGGCAAGGAATGAAACCAATATTCCTCTGTATCTCCTGAAATAGTATAGTAAGGTAAATAGCACAATTAAGTATCAGTGGACCTGTTTAAAACCTGAAGGGAGAATAGGACTCACCCTGGGAGGTGCCTCCCTTTCATCTTTGTCTTCATCACAATCAAATGCTACTTGAGCCCGCTGTTTCCTCTGTTCCTCCCACAGTGAAGGATTAAAACTTTCATTATCTGATATGAACATAACTAAAGAAAAACAAACAAAAAACAAAAAAAACTACTATATTTTGCTGTAATTATGAAAAACCATTACTTGTTTATAATTTTGAGTTATAAACATTAAGGTAAGTCAAGACTGATCAATGCCAGCAGCATTCAATGCTACTGTAATTGTAATACTTCTTTAACAGTATTAATCATATATCTTTTCTTCCCTTAAGCTAATTTGTCCTATTACCAGAAGGGTTCCTGAAAAGAATCTAACAATTACAACTCTAAGTAGGTATGTGATTTTGTGCAGTTCCCTACAAAAAGCAGCATGGTAATTGTGCCTCCTTCAGCAGCACACATATGACACTGCAATACATAAATTATTTCATTCAAGTTTTTGCATTCAGAATAATCGTCCCTATTCTGATATTGTTCATCATATATGGGGGATGAGGAGATAAAGACAAAGTGAGTTACTTTGGTTAAAAAAAGATTACTTTGATGCCTTGCAATTACATCTTTGCATTATACATTATACTTTATATACAGCTTTACTAAGCAAATAAAGTGCTAATAAACAAAGTGATATTTTTTACATTAAAATGTAAGGAAAATTGAAAATCTACTAACATAAATGCAACACTACATATCCTGCTATGCAATATAATATTGAAGGTAAAGAGTCAACAACTGTTTTTTTGTTTTTTTTTTTGCTTTTTAGGCAAGTAAAAAAATCCAAGGCTTAAAAATTAATCCACTTGACTATTATATCTCACCATACAGAAGTTTGTGCAATACAAGATAAAATCACAACTGTTTTCTGTCCTCTAAAAGAAAATGACTCCACTCACTCAAAACAAAAGGGAGTAAAAGCACCCAAAATTAGTTAAAAAAAAAAAATTCCTAGAATATCCGTATGTGGTCAATTTGAATATTTAGCCAAAAGTAGCATCATTATCATTAATTTTTAGTCCTTACTGTGGGAGTCTTACCGTTCTGTAATATCATATCCAAACAAAGAACATCACAAAACCAAATATGAACAAAAAGAATTGAGTTTTTATCTTTAGCTTTTCTTGTTTTCAATACTTGGCTCAAGAAAAATTAAAAAAAAAATAACTTTGTGGCATTAATAGTTAATGAATTATAAAGTTTGTTTTTGTTTATTTGTGGAAGGTAGTTCAAATTCCTAGGAATCCCTATTGACTTTTGTGGTATACTTGGAAAGGCAAGCAGAGCCAAGCAGTTTGCAACAAAGCCTATTTCCACGATTCAAAAAAATTCCCCTCCCATCTTAAGCAATAATTTCAATCACCAGACTAGCTGAGAAATCTCTTAAGAGTTTTTATATCAAGCCAAAGCAAGCTTTACCAGAATTTTTTCAGAACTCCAAGGGAAGTAACTTTTACCATGACCCTCATTCTTGTCAACTTCTGATCGCCTATACTTTCTACGCGTTCGTATAAATCTCACATCTTTTGAGATTCAGGACATCAAGTAATACTACTACTTTCTCTGCATTTTAGATGCCACTAGACCTGATAACCCTGGCATATTCACTGGAGACTCTAGTATTTGCCTACCAGCCTTTCTCTCTACCTAAAACCTGCCAACATCAAGAACGGTAACAATGTGTGATTATCCCCCTCTACACCACTACAATTTCACAGGTCTCAATCTTCTCAATTTCAATGTCCATCTATATTTCACCAATGTGATTCATAACCCTAGTCACACTCAAGTTGTAAGCTTCTGTAAAATTTTCCTCCTCCTTGACCACTACACACTCATTCTTTCAAAGCATTCCCTTCTTTATTATTGCTGGTACACTTTGAGTTCCTTACTCTCATTTCTTACTCTTCCTGTAAATCCACTCTAGGTTTTACTTTCTTTTCTATTCAGCTTTGGTTTAATGATACATTATTTTAATCACTTTCAAATTTCTTGCCCCTTTCTCAGTTTACACCTTTCCAACAAAACCTATGGATGTGCTACTTCAACCACCTAACTTCTTTGTTCTGGACCGCTCACTTCTATCAGAGAAAAGAGACATCACCCTCTTGTTTAGAACCTTTACAAATGTATGGTATTCCTTTATCTTTGCTCCATCTTCAGTGCTGCCCAGGAATCCTATTTATTTCCAGTCAGTCTTTCCTCCTACTACAAATCACTGTCTTCAAGGGCCCTACCCCCGACCTCTAGAGGAAGTTTTCTCTTTGACTTCAATGAATAAAGAAATGCCATCAAAACACTCAGACTGAAAACTCCCTGACCCCTGCAACAACCAGTTTTCCCCGGCTACAAATTGTTACATGGATGCTGTTTCCCATTTAACACTGATTCCTCTAATAGGCCCCAAATACCATGCCTTCTATTTCAAACTTATCCATCATTATTCCCCTTTAGAAGGTGAGCTTTTGTTTTTTTTTAAAAGATTTTAATTAATCTCTACACCCAATGTAGGCCTTGAACTCACAACCCTGAAGTCAAGAGTCACATGCTCTACCGAGTGAGCCAGCCAGGCACCACAGAACATGAGCGTCTTGAAGCAAGGATTTTTATCATTAAACACTTAGATATCTAACCCACTGCTTGGCATATTAGTGCTAAATAAAAATGGAATGAATTAAATGTGAACCAAGTATCTATTCTCCTTAAACTGTATAAAACTCCAAGCCAAGAACATTGTATTTTCTGAGTTGTTTATTACTTTGAGGTACTATGATAAAGGAAAAAGTTTTTCTTGCATTTGAAAAAGAATTCACCCACCTGGCCAGGTCAGTGTAGTTTCTGATTCGGTATTATAAGTGCAGTATGTTACGGTGTTTTTTTTGTAATAATACCTATAGTGAAATACTTTGAGAAACATGTAAACTCTAAGAGGACTCAGAATATTATTTTTTCTAAGTTTTATTTATTTAAGTAATCTCTACATCCAAGGGGGGGCTCAAACTCACAACCCTGAGATCAAGAGTCACATGCTCTTCTGACTGAGCCAGCCAGGCACCCCAAGGACTCAGCATATTATAAATGTATCTCAGACTTCTCCTTTTAAGACGCTTCTACTCTAAAATACATCTCTCATACCAAAAATTCGAAGGCCAAGATTTTATTTTGCTACTTCTATTCTTTGTATCACAAATACATTTCTTACCTGAACTATGACCTGTTTTAGAAACAAACGGAATAAATCAAAATGACAGAAATGATAGGAGGCCAGGTAAATCTGAATCATGAAAAGAGAAGACAGTAAGAGAGATCAAGGCACGAGTATACCCATGAGTAGAACAGTTCTGAGCAAGAGTCACCAAACTTTTTCTGTAAATGGTTACATAATAAATATGTTAAGCTTTGTGAACCAAGAGACAAAAATCAAGGATATTACAGTAGGTACTTATGAGAGAAATCAAATTTCCAAAGATTACTGACAAATTTAAAATATACTCAACTTTTAAAATGTTTTGTTATATAGTAAATGAGAAGACTAAAGTTCTCACTGTTGGAGTAACATATTGCTTAAATGGTATTGACTATCATCAAACTGATGTAAATATTCACCTTAAAAAACTATTCTTAGCTTGTGGGCCACACAAAAACAGGTAATAGGCTAGATATGGCCCATGGGCCACAGTGTGCCAATCACTTATTAGAACAAAAAGTATTATAACCGAATATATTTATCTGATTGTTTTCTAGAAGGGCCTTCAATGGTCTCTCACAGATGTATATTTAACAGTTTAGTTCAGGGATGCCTGGGTGGCTCAGTCAGTTAAGCATCTGCCTTTGGCTCAGGTCACGATCCGGAGTCCAGGGATTGAGCCCCACACTGGGCTCCCTGCTCAGCTTCTCCCTCTGCCCTTCATCCTGCTCGTGCTCACTCACTTTCTCTCTCAAATAAATAAATAAAATTAAAAACAAAACAAAACAAAACAAAACAAAAAACCCCACAACAGTTTAGTTCATTACTCAAATAAAAAAATACATATGCCTTTGGCTAGTTTTAGTCATTGCTTGAATCATGTTTGGTTATTTTAGTGTTAGTTAAAATGAAAAGAACATTCTGAAGTCTCTATATGGCAGCAACAAAAGCAGGTAGACCAAACAGTAGTAACGCATTAATATAATAAAATTATTAAAGATTAAATAAGTCCTTTGGAGACTTTGGTTCTATCACAAAGGATAGAGTAATTTTGTCTGAGAATCTTCCTTCAAAACAATACCTTTATTGGATTTCTTTTTTTTTCTTTTTAAGATTTTATTTATTTATTTGTCAGAGAGAGAGAGGAGAGAGCGAGCATGCACAAGGAGGGGTAGAGGCAGGCAGAGGGAGAAGCAAGCTCCTGGCTGAGCAAGTAGCCTAATGTGGGCATTGATCCCAGGACTCTGGGATCATGACCAGAGCTGAAGGCAGACACTTAATCGACTGAGCCACCCAGGTGTCCCTGTATCGGGTTTCTAATAATTACCAATTTTCATTATTTTTTCTGAAATAAACGCAGCAAAAGGAGAATAAGAACAAATCTTCCCAATATACCTTTAGGACAGGGACAAGAAGCTATTAAATCTGGCCCACTTTCTGTTTTTGTATAGCTTACAACCTACGGACAGTTTTAACATTTTTAAATGTTGCAGCAAAAACCCAAAACCCAAAAAATTATTTCATGACACATGAAAATTATATGAAATCTAAATTGCTCTGCCCACAAATAAAATTTTATTAGAACACACCTATGCTCATTTGTTTATATATCGTCTGTGACTGTTTTTGCGTGAAATAGACGGCATCAAGTAGGTAGAACAGAAAAGTATAGTCTATGAAACCTAAAATATTTACTAAATGGTTCTCTGCTTAAATAACTTGCTAACCCATGCAACAGGACATTAAAGTCTCTTCTCTACACTAAAAATTCATTCTCTTTCCTCACAAATATTTTAACTATTACCATTCTATCTTCCCACATCAAAGAAGAACTATTGGAATATATTATGCAGCTGATTGTAATTCTATTAGAAATCACCTTCAGAGATTAAGTGGAAAATAGAGACATAAGTCCCAGGGACTATAGCAAACAAAGAAAAAAACACCTACTGATGTATCCAAACATTCATTATAATTCCCCACAATGCACAAATAGGGGCATAAGCCAGAGTTGGTATATCTACTTTGAACTTCCTAATTTCTTTTTTTTTTTTCCCTTGGTAATCTCTACACCCAACAAGGGTCTTGAATTCATGACCCTGAGATCAAGAGTTACAAATTCTACCAAACAAGCCAGCCAGGTGCCCCTGAACTTCTTAACTTCTAATGCGTATATATACAGTACTTGCATTATTAAACAATACTTCAACACTACCTAAAATGAAGTATACTACATTTTGTTATGAATACATTTCCAAATTATGCAGCTAAATATGGAAACTGGGGGTTTATTTAAATATATGAAAAAGGAATTGTGCTTAGAAACCTATTCTCTAAACATTAATTATAGATCCTCAATGAAAGAGGCTATTCAGATCTGACTTCTCAAAAGTCTTAACTTTTAATTTAATTCAAAAGCTAAATAGTTTTGCTTCACCCAAATCAACCTCATTAAATAATTCCCATGAAATGATAACTTATCAAAGCAAGTTTTTTATTTCTCCTTGCAAAGAATAAGAAATAATTAGCACAGATAAAAGAGTTCTCTATTTATCACCAATAATGGAACAGAGTTAAATGATTTTAGTCTTTAATCTCAGTAAGTATTTCAAAACTGTTTGCTAAGCCTGCCAAAACAATGTAATAATAACAGCTAATTTGATTCTGTCATTGTGCTAAGCACTTTACATCCAGTTCTCATCTGTACAGAAACCCTGAAAAACAGATACTATTATCAGTATTCCAAGATAAGGAAACTGAAATTCAAGAATATATTTTCTGCAATGTTTTTATTTATTAAGAGTTAATTTATAAATAACTTAGGGCCATGAAGATTTTCACTGGTTTCAGAAAAATACACATAACAATACACAATACAACAAATCACATAACAATTCTATTTTTAGGTGTAACATAAAACATACATCACACACAGACACAAAACAACATGTATTAAAAACAATTTGCTCCTTAGTCTAAAAGGCTTTCATACCAAAACTGTTCAAAAACATGTGTGGCCAACAGTAAAGCCTATATATTCCCCTTTCTAGGCAAAACGTAAGAACTTAGAAATAACGTTTTACTCAGACTTCTACAAATGTACTTATCTGGTATACAGATCTAAGGGTGGTATTTAGTCTACAACAAAAGAAGTGAACAAAATATTTCCTGGTTCAATATTCGTAATTACATGACACCTGACACGTATTCCTAACATTTCGCTAAAGAACAGAGAGTCCTATTATAGATGAAGTTGACTGTTTAATTTCAAGGAATCACTTAAGGAAGCGTATGGTCTACATGTACCTCTAAGTTCAACTATCTACAATCCTGAGATATTGAATTACTTTCTCATTTTCAGAAATTTATTGACTAATTCTCCAAATTCCCTTCAATCTAGTAAGAGTCTATGAGACTTAAAATTCACTTCACACCTATGCTGTGATTTGTTAATATTATAATTTTTAAAAATAAAGAAATTTTTAAGTTCCTACCATCCTCAGTCCTCGGCTGCTGAGGGAACATGTAGTTAGTAAGCACCATTTTCTGGGTCTCTGAATCAGTCTCTTTTTGAAGAGGTATCAGGGGTTTGGACTAGGGAAAGAAAATAAATGTTTAATTTTCAATAATCCTAAAGCAAATACATATCCAGCAATTCTTCTGAATAAGTACTCACCATTTTTTCTATAAAGTACCAATGTGTAGATTACAAAAGCAAAATTATATATACATAAAAAAAACTTTTAGGCACTGATTTGAAACTTGTAAGAATCTTAAAAAAACAAACAACCATTTAGTTTTTAGTGTAAAACAAAACCCATGCTGTATTGCAATTATCACTGGTTATCAATACAATTTAAAAGTATTTTAATAACAAGTATATCCACAGTCCAATAATTACTTATCACAGTGATTTAATAAAGCTATAAAATAAGCCTTTCCATTTTACATTATTGTGCCCCCTTTATTTTATCTTTCCCCTTTGGAAAGAGGCTTTTAAGGAAATAATTTAGAAGGTTTAGTCCAGTTATCTGCAGATTAATTCTAGCTGAAAAGAGAGTACTTAAAACAAATACGAGGTTGTAACCTGCTTCTCTCTTCTCCCTGTCTCCCTTAATGATACCACAAGTTACTCAGTGGTTAAACTATAAATCCATTATTTTGGACCTCTTCTTTTCTTAAGACTTCTTTCCTAACTGGTTATAAAGTGATTTCAATTTATTCTTAACATAACTAATAACTTTTGCCATCATATTAACTTAAAATCCTACCAATCCAAGCCTTAGTCAACTCTAAATAGGGAGGGAACTACCCAATCTCTCCCTCACCTGCCACCCTACCAATTAAATCTTTAGACTTTTGTTAAAAATTTGCAGCTAGCTAGTTCCATCCTATAATCTTACTCCCAGTCAAACATTTCCTCCATGCCTCTCAATTTTTCTTGGTAAACAAAATGCCCTGCATCTCAAACATCTTTTTTTTTTTCCCACTTTTTTTTTTTTAAAGATTTTATTTATTTGACAGACAGAGATCACAAGTAGACGGAGAGTCAGGCAGAGAGAGAGAGAGAGAGAGGGAAGCAGGCTTCTTGCTGAGCAGAGAGCCCGATGCGGGACTCGATCCCAGGACCCTGAGATCATGAACCGAGCTGAAGGCAGCGGCTTAACCCACTGAGCCACCCAGGTGCCCCCATCTCAAACATCTTCACTGAAAAACTTTCCTTGATCTCCTCAGATAACAGAAATGGTAGATCTATTCCTTCCCCAAACACAGTGCTCTCCTTAAGTCTTCTCAAATGCAGGGGTGCTTATTCTCTCATAGCTCATAAACCCTGGGTTAGGGGGTGAATTCAGAGCTTACAAACACTGTGAGATCATCACTTGTATCTCTTCAAGTGTAAATATCTGTTCTTTTGCGGGATATACAACTGTGCCTCTACCATTCTGAATTCTGCCTCTGCCATTCTCTCCTTTCCTAATAATCTACTGACATTCCGGCAGTATCCATCTATTCTTGATTCTTTTATGACAAATCTTTCCACAGTCATAGATAATTCAACAGCTATAAAATGTAAATGACATGGTCATGCTCTTAACCCACTGATGTCTTAGGAGATGAAGAGTACATGAGAAAGGGGAAAGCAGTCAACTAAGATGGACATAACAGAATTATTTAGAGGCTTTTTAAAACTAATCACCCCAAGGAGCCTGGGTGGCCCATACGGTTAAATGCCTCCCTTTGGCTCAGATCATGATCCCAGGGTCCTGGGATTGAGCGCCGTGTCAGGCTCTCTGTTCTGCAGAGTCTGCTTCTCCCTCTCCTTCTGATGCTGCCCCTGCTTATGTTCTCTCTCTCTCAAATGAATAAATAAAATCTTTAAAACAAACAAACAACAAATCACTCTTGAAATAATTCTAAAATTAACTGTTAATAACTGCAAAATTCTATAAATATATTAAAATGCATTAATTGTACACTTTAAAATGGGTGAATTTTATGGTATGTGAATTATATTTCAACACAGATGTTATAAGAAAACTAATTATCTGTTATTTGTGGAGTACAAAGTCAGAAAAAGAAATTGATAACCATTTACCAGTCTCTCCATTCCCTAAATCATCTAATTCCAGTGATCTCTATTCCTGTTTCTTTTAAAAAATTTATTATTACTATTTTTTGTAACCTCTACACCAAACATGGGGCTTGAACTCATGACCCTGAGATCAAAACCTTTACCATAATTCCCACAATATAGCCAATAAATAATCATCCTCTGAAATCTGAAATCACTCATTCAACAAATATTTACTTATATTTGGCTTTTATATGCCAAAGTACTATGACAGGTACCAGGTATACAGTGATTACCAATTTAGGAGAGCTTACAATGTATGAAAGGAAAGACAGGGATAACAAAATGAGACATTAAAACATGATTTAAGTACAGGTTAGAGAGGATACAGGGAGTAACAGAACCCATAGAAGGTGTTCATTTATCACAATCTTGAGTGATTAGGAAAGCATTCCTAAGAGAATGCCTTCCTACATGATGAATGGGCATTAACCAGGTGAGAGGGGTAAAAATGTTCCAAGAGAGAACTCATTTGGGGATATGAAAATGAAGGTGTAAGGGATAGAGATGAAGACAGGATGAGTGAGGTCTTGAAGGATACAATATGGAGAAAGAAGTCATGAAAAGGTTTTAAGTAGGTTAGTGCTGGAACCAGATAAAAAGATCACTTGAAGTGTGGTTCAGAATGAAATCAGGATGATATAAGATTGAAAGTGGTGCCAACACTGGAGGCAGAGACCAGTTAGGAATTTCAGTAGTCCAAGTCAACACTGTCCAGCATAAATACAGAAGTGACACTAAAATGAGAACCATAGATAATTTATAAATTTTTAGCTGCTACACGTTTTTAAAAAGCAAAAATAAGTTCAATTTTGATAATGCATTAAATTTAGCATATCCTGTATATCTAAAATATAATTTTGATGTGTGATCAAATAACAATTGCTAATGTGATATTTTACTTTCTTTGTTTATATTACATATACAAAATCCAGTGTACATTTTACGCTTAGAGAACATCTCAATTTGGACTACACTCATGACAGCAGTGCCTACTGTACTGGACAGTGAAGGTCTAAATAAAAGGTAATACACTATATGATGAATAGTAGTTAAGATTTATACATCCAAGTGGCACCTGAGTGGAGAGAGAGAGGGAGAAGTGGACTTCCTACTGGGCAGGGGCCCCAACATGGGACTCACTGCCAGGACACTGAGATGATGACCTGAGCCAAAGGCAGATACTTAACTGAGTCACCCAGGCACCCCTATGATTTTTTTTTTTAAGATTTATTTATTTATTTATTTATTTTAGAGAGAGAGAGAGAGTGCCAATGTGGGTGGGGGGAGGGGCAGAGGGAGAGGGAGAGAATCTTAGACAGAGCAACACCTGGGGCTCAATCTCATGTCCCTAAGATCAAATCAAGAGCTGGATGCTCAACTGACTTAGCTACAGGTGCCCCCAACTACAATTTTTTTTTAATAAAGTAATTAACAGAGGGGCGCCTGGGTGGCTCAGTGGGTTAAGCCTCTGCCTTCAGCTCGGGTCATGATCTCGGGGTCCTGGGATCGAGCCCTGCATCGGGCTCTCTGCTCAGCGGGGAGCCTGCTTCCTTCTCTCTCTCTCTGCCTGCCTCTCTGCCTACTTGTGATCTCTCTGTCAAATAAATTAAAAAAAAATAAAGAAAGAAAGAAAGAAAGTAATTAACAGATGTGGAACAAAGAGATGAAAATGAGAGAACATTGTAAATATGAAGAGATTGTCTTAGATACTAGATAATTTCACTAAAAGGAGTCATTTGGCATAATTTTCTGGTATTGATTTGCTGCAAAAGTGCTATTATACTAAAAGTCTGAGTCCTCAAGACCAGGAGCTATGTCTCATAACTCTAAGTATCTGGCATAGCCAGGGCCCAGCAATGTTCTGAGAATCCAGATGAAAAATTTCAAAACGTTTCATATGTAAATATTCAATTAAGAGATTAGAAAATTAAGAGTTCCATATATACATGAACTGACACATTTAATGATGATGCAATAATCACTGTGTTCAAGCTATAATAAAAGCAAAGGTATCATCATTTCAGTATTTCCTTAACTTGCAGAACAAGGAAATACTACAATCTGATTCAAAAGTGTGGACTGACAACAACTTAAGGCTTTTTAGGATATTAATAAGAATTGGCTAAGAAAAAGGATTTTGGTTAAGAAGTCTGGAGAATCCTGAAGTGTAGACAAGTGGGTTTCTTTACTACAGCAACACATAAGGGTTGTTAATATAATTCAAAAGAGGATATAATACAGTCTCCCAAGCAAATTTAACTATGGAACTTAAGAATACCTTATAAGACTAGTGTATCCAAAACCCTGGGAAAATACAGCTTTAGATAATTTATTATAAGATATTGCTCAAGGTCAAATACTAAGCATTAAAAGGATCAGGAAACTGCATACTCTATACTTAAAAAAAAATAATCAGTAAGAAATACCAAAGAATAGATATGGAAAAAAGATTTCCTCATACTTACAGATAGTAAGTTAACCCCTATTTTGTTTTGGACCTAAAATCCAATACTTAGCCAACATTATAGAGGAGATTTCTTACCAATTAAACTAGAACATTTACAATAATCTACACTTTGAATCCTAAGATTGAGACATTTCAAATTAAACTCAAAATATTTTGCCAAAGTTTTTCACAGGTGAATGATAACTACTCTTTGCAAGGATAAAATACTAACATTTATTTCTAAGACCAAGGCATATACAGAGAGACCTATCCCTTAACTGTCCAAATGGAAACTTAACTAGAGTACTAAGATAGATTCACTGTCCTGACCTTTCTGCCTCCCATGAACTGTAATACACTGAAATCATTTCATTTCATTCCCAATGTTCCACTAAAACTATGTACTCTTCCCAGGGTCAGCAACTACTTCTACCTTAACAAACCTAATGGCCAATTAGAAGTTCTCATCTACCCAACTCACTGGCAACATGTGGCACAGATCTTTCCTGAAGCACTTTCTTCAGATGACTCTCTGGATAACATACTCTCCTGGTTGGCTGGTCCTTCTTATTCTCCTTGTGGTGCCACTCTCTTTCCTGTGCTTAGTCTTTGATCTTCTCTTCTTCTCTATCCTCTCTCCCTACTAATTTTATGCAGTTGTATGGTGTTAAATGGAACACCTGTAAAATGCTGACTCCCAAATTTTATCTCCAACTAATACCTGACATCCCTACTTCCTTCTCACCATCTCACTATCATAATAGTTGAAGGCAAGCAACACCTCCTTCTAAACTACCGCAACCGCCTCCTTACTAGACTTTCTCCTTCCAAAACAGAATATTCCACCCATAACTTTACCACCCAACTATGGCCCATTCCTCACTCAAGTGTCAAAACGATCTTTTAAAAATGTACATTACCTCTTGCCATTCCCTGACAAGAAATACTTCAATAGATTTCTATCTAATTCAGAGTAAAACCCCAGTTGGTTACTACAGCCTACAAGGTCCTATGTGATCTAGTTCCAGTTTTCCTCTCTGATCTAATCTTACTCAATTCTCTTCCTTGCTCACTGTATTCCAGCCATCAGGGTTTTTATCTATTCCTCAGTTACAACAAGCTCACTCCAATATTGGGAACTTTACTCTTAATATTTAAATGTACCTCCTTTTCCAACTCACTGCTCTAATCTATGCATGGCTCACTCCTAATTTCCTGTGAGCATCTGCTCTACTGGTTCCCTTCCTTAGAGAAAGGCACTTTCTTCCTAAATCACCCTATTTAAAACAGGATGTTTACTCTTGCCCTCCTATTCTTCTAATGCCTATCAGCTTCTGTTTTTCTTTATAGCTCTGACGTACTATTACATAATTACTTGTTTCTATCTCTTGAAAGTGTAATCTCAATAAAAATATAAGACTCTCTTTGTTTCACCAATATATCTCAAGCTCCCAAAGCAGTTCATGAACTATTGTAAGCCTTCAATAAATGTTTACCAATCAAAGATAAGTCCAAGGAATAACTCTTAGTTCCTTAGAAACATTTAAGATGTGTGAAAGTATTTGATTAGAAGCATAATTTAAATTGACTATTGGGGCACCTGCGTGGCTCAGTGGGTTAAAGCCTCTGCCTTCAGCTCAGCTCATGATCCCAATCGAGCCCCACATTGGGCTCTCTGCTCAGCAGGGAGACTGCTTCCTCCTCTCTCTCTCTGCCTGCCTCTCTACCTACTTGTGATCTCTCTGTCAAATAAATAAATAACATCTAAAAAAAAAAAAAGAAAAAGAATTATACATTCAATTCCCTGCCTCTAGCAAGTACTTTTTATTGGTCTAGGGAACCCAGGAAAAGAAAAATTTGGAGCAGAGGATGGAATGTTCATTTTCAAGCTAGCTGAATTTGAGACATCTAGGTAGCAATGTTAAAGAGATAATGGTTGGTTGTACAGTTCAGGAAAGAGAATTGAGCTGAGGATAACTGTTAGGAATAATGGGCATACAGAGAGTAATTGCATCTTTCTTAGAGGAAAGTATAGCAAAAGAAACTAAAGAACAACCTAGAGTACTACATGGGGTACCAACTATAAAAGACTGGCAGAAGAAAAATTCCTGAAAAAGAAACTGAGGAGTGGTCAATCACAAGGATAACCAGTAGAGAATGCTACTGGTGCTCTCTCTCCAGTGTTCCGACAATACTTGCTCGTCAATTTCACCAAGAGTGATGCTCCCTTGAACTTCCAACTTTATCACCATCATTCTTTCTCATCTTTGCTTCTCTCTCTGTACCTCACTGGATCCCACTATAACCATTTTCCTGCCAATTATCAATACCTCCTTGCTGCATATCTGTCTTTTACACCTGGAGTGGCAAACTGCAACCCAGAATCATACCAACCATGTGCTTTCTCTGTATTACACAACTGAGCAAATCAGTAGCTACAAGTTTGTGGTCATCAACTTCAACAGGGAACTCAATGTTGCCTGAAAACCCTTCCACGTTTCCTAAATTATATCCTGAAGATACTATTTTCTAGAAGATTGAAAAAAAAAATAGGATTTAAGAACTGCCTGGAAACTGCTACATTCTAAGAATTTCAACATAAACATTATTAGTTCTCCCTCTCACATCAGACCAAGCTGCCTTCAAAAGGACAAGAGCTCCTGCCACAGTTTTATTGTATTTTTTAAGATTTTACTTATTTATTTGTCAGAGAGCGAGCACAAGTAGAGGACACAGTAGGCAGAGGGAGAAGCAGGGTCCCCAATGAGCAAGGAGCCTGATGTGGGGCTCAATCCCAGGACCCAGGATCATGACCTGAGGTGAGGGCACATGCTTAACCAACTGAGCCACCCAGGCATCCCTCTACCAGTTTTAAATTCTATCAGTTACACAACAATTATCCACCCCCTCTCATATTTTTAACCTCATTCTCTACATAGCCTCCTTGAACAACCTATAAAAATATTCTCTAATACTAAAGGATTTCTTCTTACATTGCCCCAAGCTACCAGTTTATGTTCCACTCTTCTTTCTTATCCAGCCTTCTTAAAAGCTCAATCAACAACTGTATGCCCCCATTCTCTCATTTATTCATTCCTTAAATTAAATCAATTGGGTTTTTGTTCTAATGTAGTTCTAAAACTACATTAGCTATAGTCAAAAGTTGGCAAGAAATAATGTGTATTTTCCAGATTTTATTTGAATTGACCCCCCAACAGCATTTATCCCATTACAACTTCTTCCTTTAAGCCAGCTACCTCATCCTTAACTTGAATCTACTATCATAAAGTTTTTTTTCTACCTCTATGGCCACCCTAAGTCTTTTAATCCACCTGTCACTTAAATGTTAGTAATAAATACATAAATAAACATATGTATGCATGTATGTTAGTTCCTCAGGATTCATCCGTCCCTAACAACTAAATCAATAAATTCATAGACTCCCTTTTAAGAAAATAATAAAAGATATGAAAATAATAAAAGATATGGAAAAATCACCTAAAAAAAGTGATTAAGATGATGGGCTGAGCTCCTGTATCTTTTCTTGTGACAGAAAACTTTTAAAAAAATTTCTTAATAAAACAAACAAAAGGAATAGGTCTATAATGTCCTGGAGAAAAGGAAACTGTGCCTTCAGGAGCAATATCGAGAAATCCCAGGAGGGTCAAAATTTAAAGAATGGACAAACCAAGAGCACAGAAATCACAGTCTAGAACAAAGTCAAGGAAGCTGGGGGATCATGGCCACTAGAATTATTCTCTAGATGCCTACTCAGATATATCAAAGGTACTTCAAACTTAACATGCCTAACTGGAACTTAGTATCTTCCCATAAACCTATTTCTTTCTGTTGTGGTTCCTCATTTTGATTATTAGATCAATATCCAGCGAGTCACTCCAGCTACATCTCTGAGGCTCATCTTTGCTTTTACTTCCTTTCTTCTCACATGCGTGCATTCTTCATATATTCTACTGATGTGGCCTTTTAAGTTATGCTTTAAATATATCCACTCTTCCCTGGTCCTGTTATTATCTTACTTCAACCAACATGTTCTACTGTCTTGAGTATGGCAATGCCCTCCAACCAGTCTCTCCTGCTTTCACAGTGCAGCCCAAAAAGCTTTCCAAAAATAACAATCTGATCCTACTACTTGCTTGTTCATATTATACTTGTTCACCTTCAACTACAGTAGGTTGACATGTATCAGAGGATCAATTCTTCCTCTTAAACTAGTGGCATATATAAATAACTGATTATGACCATGATGACCAAACGCCCAATTTGCCTGGGACATTCGCATTTTACGCATGCTCTTTTGACATAATTATCATTAAGCTCCTTTCACTATCAAAAGTGTTCTAGGGGGCGCCTGAGTGGCTCAGTGGGTTAGTCCTATGCCTTCAGCTAGGGTCATGATCTCAGGGTCCTGGGATCGAGCCCAGCATCGGGCTCTCTGCTCAGCAGGGAGCCTGCTTCCCCCGTCCTCTCTGCCTACTTGTGATATCTCTCTCTGGCAAATAAATGAATAAAATCTTTAAAAAAATGGAAAAAAAAATAAATTGACTATTAAATTTCTATAGACATATGCCACAGAGGATCACTATAAAAACTTAAAGAAGTTAGAGAATATCGAGTCTGATTTTTTTTTTAAGTTAGTAAGAAATCACCAGTTTATTGAATGAAAAACCCAACATCCACTCAGTCCTTCAAGCCCCACCCCTCTCTGGCCCCAAGAGAGCAGCTCAGCCCAAAAGATACTATGGACAGCAGGGCTGAGCAGGGCTAAGGGCTGGAGGAGTTTGGGAAGGTATGGAGAATGAGAAAAACACTTTTCAAAATGAAGTTCGAGTCTGATTTCTTAATCAATGTATCTTTTTACAGATTCAAGAGAAATTAGACAAATCCAAAAGGATTTATTGTTTTGAATCTACAGAAACTACACAAAAATATCTGTATCTCAGTATTTTCCAAGATTTTTCTTATATATATTTTAAAATGTATACCAGAGTATAACTGCTCTTAAATGAGCCCATGTAAATTATTATGCATAATCATTTAACACAATTGGAATTCCTGTAATTTACAAAATCAGAAAGCCTACCTGATTATCTGAGAGCCACATAGCAGTCAGCTGTTGCAGCTTTGTAAAGCTAAAGGGCAAATTCTTTAACCTGTGGGGAAAATACAAAATTAAAATAACAAATGTTAAAATGTAAGAGCAAAACCGAACGGTCTTCTAAATAATATTGTATTACTGAGTATGAAAATATGAGAAAAAAATTTAATTTAGGAGAGAACCCAATATAGGTCTTTGACACAGATATGACAAAATACTATCCAGTTTAATAAGAATCACTTTAAAAATACAATTCTTCCAGTGAATCAATTCAGCTAGGAGGAAAATGGATAATCTAATAAACCCCCAAAAACTGTCTGCTAGGAAAAAATGTTAACCATCCCTACTTTAATGCAAAGACAGGAACACATTAAGCAATGTCTCATAATACTGCTTTGAATATTTTATTTGTATTTAGAAAGAACAAACTACTATAGAAGGCCTTAGTGATAGTTTGTTACAAAAACTGTACTGTTCTATTTTTTCTTGTGAGCCAGCACTTTCATATTCCAAAGACTATTTAAACATTATAATGAATAAAAAACAAAGTGATATTAACAATTCATCAGAATGCCAAACTAGAACAGCACCTATTTAAAAAGAATGTCTACTTAAACCTTCTACCTTATTAACGCTTATCCACTCTGCTATGCCTATCTTCCAAGGCAATTTGCTAGAGTCTAGGGCTAGGGCTGTAGCTCTGGGGTACAAAGTATGGGAAGAAATGAGGACTGAATTTTTTTTAAAACAGGCAGTGGTTATTCTAAAATAAAATGGAACACTCTGAATATCCTAATTAGAAAACTGGGTTTACACTAAACCTCTACTTTACAAGCTAAATGAGTCATCTGAAATTTGGGTTTTAATTTTCTCCTCATAAAATGACAATACCTACAGTACTATTTCATAGTGTTGTTTTGAATACTTTGTAAGATACTATGAAAGCATAATGTAAAAATGCTCTACGAACGTTCTTTTATCATTATTAGTATCTTTACCTCAGGAAAAATTATGGACAGGTTGTTATTAATTTAACATGATTCCAATTTAGTAACTCTAGTGATCTATTTGCTCTGCACCTTCACTGTGTTGCCCAAGCTATGTGAATGGATGCCTAATCACATCTCTGCTCAGAAAAATACAGTGAGCATATTAGATGAAAACCTGCTCCATTCAGCAGCAGTATTAAGGTGAAGATATGACTATAGGAATATAAAAGGTGACTATAAGCAAAAAACAGCTGCATAGCTCAAGCTGTAAGTTGTATAGCTGAAGTCAACACAAAATTAACTATGACAAATTACCACAGTATTAAAAACCACAGATAAGGGGCGCCTGGGTGGCTCATTGGGTTAAAGCCTCTGACTTCAGCTCAGGTCACGATCCCAGGGTCCTGGGATCGAGCCCTGCATCGGGCTCTCTGCTCGGCAGAGAGCCTGCTTCCTTCTCTCTCTCTCTGCCTACCTCTCTGCCTACTTGTGATCTGTGTCTGTCAAATAAATAAAATCTTAAAAAAAAAAAAAAAGTAGGAAAAGAGCAACATGCATGCCGTTTTCTATCATATAATGAAACTTTAATTTTATCCAATCAATATTTTCTATAAATCAACATTATTACAAACCTATTGTCACTTAAATTGATGACTTTTAATTTTTGCATATCACCCATTTCCTCTGGAAGTGTCTCAAGTTTATTGGAATGAAGAAATAGGACAGTTATATTTTTCCAGCTTCCAATCTGAAGGAGAAACATAAAACTGGGGATCAAAATTCTGGCCTACTGCTTAACAGACAGAAGTAAAATATCATTAACGAAAGTAATGAAAACATTCTAGTAATGAAAACATTCTTCTCATTTATAAAAGCAAACATATTTTCTCTTTTCAGTTACTAATTCCATGTATAAAGAAAAGTATTTAGGTATCTCTATAAATCAGTATAGCTGATTGTTATTCAGAAAATAGATAACAGAGTTACATAATTATTTCTAAAGAAAACAGATAAAACCACACTGGATAGCTATAATGAATAATACAGAAAAAATAAAAAAAGAAAATGCAAAGCAAATTTAAAATACAATACCTCTGGGGGTAACTGTTGTAAATAATTATGATCTGCAGCAAAAGTTCTTATATTAGTAAGCTGTCCAACAGATGAAGGCAAAGCTTCAACTTCATTGAAGCTACAGTCCAGTTCTTCTATTGACACTAACCTAATTAATTAAAAAAGAAAACACATAATTTTTAAAGTTTCCTATACATAATCCAAAACTTAAGAATATATCAACATCTGAACTTGACTTCAACAAATCCAGAAAAACTCTTATTTCCACTAAACTTAATTTAACAATAAAAATAAGCCTACCTTTATTAAAAAACCTAGCCAACCTATAACCAATTACTTATTTAAATGCTTATGAAATCTCCTTTAGCTGCTATTCATGCACTTATCTGGAAATATATGTGACTGAATGAAATACATACATACTGTTTATAAACATAAATATATAAAGCTGAATGAAAGTAAAGTCTTCTAGTGATTCAGAAAAATCTTACCCTCCTATAGAGTCTGGAAGATACATTAATTGATTTTCATCTATTTTAAGAGTTGTTACATTCTTCAGTGAACCTATTTAAAGAAAGAAATAATACATAATTTTCCAGCTTGAACTAGAAGCAAGTCAAACAACAGTCAATGTGAGCACACATCAATCATACAGAACTTTCTTAATCAACTTATCTAAAAGAGAAACCAACCCAACCTCATTAATCTGTACTCCCTTACCCTGTATTTTCAACTTTTACCAATATATCCCTTTTAACATTAGTGTGTATTTATCTATTTTACTCCTGTTAGAACGCAAGCTTCATAAAAGGAGGGACTTCTGCCTTCTTTGTTCGCAGACGTAGCACTGCTCCTTAAAATAATGTCAAGGCACAAGTGAGCACAGGCAAGAAGGAATGGTAGGTGTATAAAATTCATAGGTATATGGCAAACTATTCTGTGTATTCTAAATGCTAAAACAATAAAAATGGAGTTTAATTTAAAACTAAAACTGTTGAATAAGTTATAGTAGAATCTGCAAAATGTAGCCTGAGCTAAAACAGCTAAGTAACTCAATTAATAAAATATATAAAAATATTTTTTGGTTTTTATGTTTAAACATCATGAAGACGGCAAGATTTATGTTTTTGGTTCTTGAATCAAAATAATTCATTTTCCTTGAAGCATCATCAGACTAAAAGCAACTACAAATATAGAATCTCATGGAATTTGCTAACTGGTTTGTTTTCTCAACTTTGAGTCTAAAATGGAGACTGAAAAAAAGATACTAGATAAGGGCTATGAATAGGTATTATAGTTTATAAAAATTAACTTCTTTTTAAAGAGTTTAAATTTTATTATAGTGATAAACATGAAATTTCCTTAAATAAAAATATAGTAATGTCAACCAAGATGTAAAATGTGTAACTGATCACACGAAACAAATCAACTAAGATCTCTGACTGGCAGTACAATAAAACTAGCTCATAACATAGAAAATTTGATATATGAAAGCTTTAAGTTTAACAATGGCAAAAATGTAATTTCTGAGATTTTACATTAGTAAAAAGGAATTACATGAATTAGAAAGCAATACAAACCAATAGTCTCAGGCAGTTGTTGAAGTGAATTGCTTGATAACAGGAGATCTTGAAGGTTTTCACATGCTGAAATTCCTTCTTCAATCATTTCAATGTTATTTTTGGAAACATCCAAGTATGTGAGCTGTTTCAAACTACCGATAAACTGTAAGTAAAAAAAGGAAATCTAATGACTGTATAAGTGAATTTATGGCTAGTTTAGGTAATAAACTCAATACCAAGTTATAATTCACAATTAAATGTTTATATGAGAGAAAAGATTCCATTTTTTATTAAATGCTGTAAGTAATGTATTCAGTAATAAAGCTAAGAGTTCCTGCTAAGAGCCTAGCAGAATGACAATGGACATATACTTTTCTTTGGGAACTCAGCTGTCACCATTGGCTAGGGCAACAGAAGGTAACAGGATTCTTAGGTTCTTTGGGCATGGGAATAAATAAATTCAGTCATTAGGACAGAAACTACATGGAAAATATCCCACTTTAACAGTTCCCTGGACAAAATGAGTTAGGATATAAACTCAACTGCAACCACTGACAAGGACACACTCCAGGTCCAGGAAATTAAAAAGAATCTATTTTACAAAGTTTACTATGTTAATATTCTGAATTTCGTCAAGAATGTATTGATAGTTAACGGGCACCTGGGTGGCTCAGCGGGTTGAAGCCTCTGCTTTGGGCTCTGGTCATGATCCCAGGGTCCTGGGATCAAGCCCCACATCGGGCTCTCTGCTCAGCAGGGAGCCTACTTCCCTCCTCTCTCTCTCTCTGTCTACTTGTGATCTCTGTCAAATAAATAAATAAAATCTTAAAAAAAAAAAGAAAAAAAGAATGTATTGATAGTTTAAAAAAATGCTATTTTCTTCTAATATATTTACAATTAAATAACCATCCTTAAAAAACAAAGTAATCTGAAAATGTACAATTCATCAAACCGCAAAGAACAGACTGCACTAAGAGAAACCATATAAAGTTTGATATACATACCCCTGGAATAAAAGTCAGTCTATTACCATCCATCCAAAATTCTTTCAATCCACTTAGTTGCTCAAGTACTTCAGGCTGTTTGGGTAAGAAGGGGGTGGGGGAATTCAATAATTTACTTGAATGTTTTTATTTGTCAGAAGTAGTTCCAGGGAACTTGTAATGGTAACTTCTGGTTTAAAACATTTAATAAATAACTGGGGGTGGGGGGTGGCATGGAGCAGAGCCAAGATTCTAGACTTTTCATTATATTATAGTTACTACAGTGGTACTACTAAAAGAAAACTCAAAGATAAGCACTCCAGAAGAGTAGATTGCATAAAATTCATTTAAACTTTTGATTATACAACAGACTTAAGTATTTATAAAACTAATAAAGAAATAAAAATAAGTCTCATCACTTTCAAGAATATAATAAAAAGATACTCTCTATCATTATCTGTAAAAAGATTATTAGCCTTTTCCCCATAACCCAGCAATTTACTTTTGCCTTAGAAGTACTTTTTCTTACTCATCTAGGCTGATGAAACTTTGTTTTTCCCTTATGATCTCTCAAATTGTCTACTTGCTGTGCCTAACTTTGTTACTTTTTCCACAGGTTTCTCCTTTATTTTACATTTGATTCTCACTACTGTCAGATATTTCTATCTGATTAACTCTCCCTGTTAAGTGTTTTCATATCTTTTTTCCCAAAAATATGTATACATCTTTAACCTATTTTATATTTAAAAATGCTAAGAGGGGTTCCTGGGTGGCTCACAGTGCGCTAAAGCCTCTGACTTTGGCTCAGGTCCCGATCCCAGGGTCCTGGGATCAAGCCCCGCATCAGGTGCTCTGCTCAGCAGGGAGCCTGCTTCCCTTCCTCTCTCTCTGCCTGCTTCTCTGTCTACCTGTGATCTCTCTCTGTCAAATAAATAAATAAAATCTTTAAAAAAAATGCTAAGAAATAAATACATTAACTTTCACATGCTCTCAATCAAATTTAAGACCTTTAGATAGAGACTGGTAAGAACTTACCACTTCTGTGAATTCATTACTTCCCAAATCCAGTCTCTCCAGTTGGGTCAGTCTATTCATGGTTCTATGCAGAAGGGATTAATGAAGAATTGAGTATATAAAAATATCAATTAAATAGAAGCTTTCAAATCAATAGTATTAAACATTCTTAGGTAAGATCTAATGTACAGGTTTCACCATATTGACAAAATAAATATAATTTCTCAGAAAAGTATTCTTTATTTAATTTCTAAATAAAATAAGTTATGAATTATTCTCTAATTTGGGTTCTCATCAGGTCTTCATTTCTATTCCTAAATAGTCACAGTAAATTTAAACACACAGAGCAGAATATGAATAACTGGTTTTTGCTTTTTTCACAGAATAAATTTTCATATAGTATTAATCAACTAATGAATTAGACTGGCAGCTACAGTGTAATTATTACCATTTTTCAAGACTGGTCATATATTTGTAAAACTTCAAAATAGCTTAATTCTAAAAATAAGTACTCAAAATTCTAAACAGTAAATTTCTTACATTTCCAAATTAATTTCAATACAACTCAAAATCAAGTTTTATAAGAACCATAAATATGAGTAGTAAAATCATTTTTAACTTCCAACTTACTACCAATATTTCTCTGCAACTACAGTGACTTGAAAATTGTACAAAACCTCATTTAATAATGAAATAAACTAAACTGTACTTTTATTTCTCCTTCAATACAGCATTTTAAAAACCTAGTTAATTCAAATATATATTTACACTCTTATAATTACTATTTTTAGAGAAACCTAGTATTTGATAGATTGAAGTACTACCAGCTACCCAGATAAAGAACTTCGTGCTATAATTTTTTAGGATATGCCAAAATGAAAGCAAAATACAGTTATCATCGTATTATTAATATATATTAATATGCTAATGACTTAAAAATTAACACTATTAAAAACCAACAGCCCCCTTAAATTACAACATAAGAACACAGACTATTTCTATCTTCTCCGGAAATTAAACAAACTAGAAAAAGTAAAATAAAACTCGCAAAACATTTCTCTGCCTTTTCAGTGAAAAAACTAACAAACATAGGAACACACATAATTGGGGGCGCGCTTGGGTGGCTCAGGTCATTAAGCAACTGCTTTCGGCTCAGGTCACGTTCCTAGGGTCCCAGGATCCAGTCCCGCCTAGGGCTCCTTGCTTGGCAGGCAGCCTCTTCACCCTCCCCCTTTGCTCCTCCCCTGTGTTTGCAAGTGCGCATCTTTATTGCTCTCTCTCAAATAAATAAGAATCTTTAAAAAATAATAGATAAACAAAAGAACACACATAATTGTAATGACACTATGTTACTGACCCAACATTAGAGGAAACTAATTTTTCCAAACCCTTCCATTTAAAGTATGCCATTCTATCAATATTCCTTTAACTTATTTCACAACACCAATTTTTCTCAAAGCTGCTTTATTTAATTTAGACTTATTAAAGGCCTAGTCTCAACTATAATTGTTTCCCTTACTCATATCTTTGTCCAAAAAATCTCTAAGTCAGTTGTAGTTTGCTTCATAACAAAGAAGGTTTCCAGGACTTTTTGAAGAAAGATGAGAAGCTATGACATTAAACTATATCCAGGTAAGCATTTGAGAAAAGTAGAAAGGTGTGTTGAGGAGGGAGGGGAGAATTGAAGAAATTCTTAAAATGACAAAAGAACACAGAAAATCCACACAGAGCAGTTAAACACTGTAAAAAAAGGGTAAGTCATACAAGAGTACAAAAAAGAAGCAGTGCATTGGAAAAATTCAATTATGAATGACTTCTTTAGAAAGAAGTTTAAAAACTGATACAGGGAAAAGTGAATGACATGTATATGTAACAAAAAAAGAAATAAAATGTAAAATCTTCAAAATGTCTCTATCTTAACTTGCATTAATTTATACTGGCAACTTTAGTCCTACTAAGATACCTCAAAAGTCTAAGACAAAATTTCACGTTTTCATTTTCAAGTCTTTTCATTCAAGATCCAGCTTCCTACTTCCAAGGAGAAACCAAAAACAATATATCCCTTAAATTTCTTCCTATTTACCTCTCAAATTTCTTTGTATTTAACTCCTTTTCATCTCTTCTTGTGTCACAGGGAAAAAAACACATCTTTTGTGTGCTTGGCCCTGTGCCCTCTAGTACTTAGATGGTATTAAATTTCACTTAGCTACATTATCTGAAACAGCTTTCCCACTGCTCACATCTTTGATTATAAAAAGGTTCACTCACATAACTTGAATGCACATGACTTTTGTAACATTTAAAACTACTGCCTCTTTACAGGTCTGTGAGGTCTCAAAAGTTTTAATCACAAGTCTTAAAAAGAGAGCAGTAAAGAAATTATATTTGAAAATATATCAGACAGAGCCCAATTTAAAGTTAAATAAGGAGATAAAATAGTAAAATTATTGTATCAGATAAACAATATTAATTATAGGCTTAGCTATTAGGTAAACAATTTACATCCTATTCAAATCTCTTAGAAAGCAGTCCATTTGAACTAAAGGAGTCATCAATGCCAGTACCACATCTGTAAAATATTTAAACCTTTTTGAATTTAATATGGATCATAATTCCCATTTTAATTTACACTCACAACCATCACAATAAAGACCAATCTTTTCTGCACTGAACAACGGTCAGCTAACAGATGATGTCTTCTGGGAATCAAAACCAGATATGCTCCTTGTCCTCAAAGACTTACATTCATGGGGAAGGTTATAGGTACACGTGTGCATGCATATAAGTTGGCCAGGTAAAAACAGGAGTAAAAGGGGGGGTTGCCTGGGTGGCTCAGTAGGTAAGCATCTGCCTTTGGCTTAGGTCATGATCCCAGGGTCCTGGGACAGAGCCCTGCATCAGTCTCCCTGCTCAGTGGGAAGCCTGCTTCTCCCTTTCCTACTCCCCCTACTTGTGTTCCTTCTCTCACTGTGTGTCTCTATGTCAAATAAATAAATAAAATCTTTTTAAAAAAGAGTGAAATAAAATGCATAAAAAAAACAAGATTGGGGTGCCTAGGTGGCTCAGTGGGTTAAGCCTCTGCCTTCGGCTCAGGTCATGATCTCAGGGTCCTGGGACCGACCTCCGACCTCCACCTCGGGTTCTCTGCTCAGCAGGGAGCCTGCTTCCCTTCCTCTCTCTCTGCCTGCCTCTCTGCCTACTTGTGATCTCTGTCAAATAAATAAATAAAATCTTAAAAACAAAAACAAAAACAAGACTAACATGGTAAATTTCATAACAAATACAAATAAGACGCCACAGAAGCTGAGTAAGCCAAACTAACTCCTGGGGAACTGGAGATATCTCCCTTAAAAGCTAACAATTAACTTCTGACAAATCAATCACAACAGAAATCAGCAAAGTTTTCTGTAAAGGATCAGAGAATAAATAATTTAGGCTTTGCATACAGTCTTTGTCACAACTATTTGATTCTAACACTGTGGAGCAAAGGGAGCCGTAGACGATATGTAAATGAATAAATGTGTTTCCAGTGAAACTTCTTTGCACAAATAAACAGTGGGCCAGATTTAGTAAGACAGTAGTTTGCCAATGCCTACACTGTAAAAATGTAGCGATGAATTCAGGAAGTTTTAATGTATTTTTTTCAATAAATGGACACACACTACAGTGCATTTTCAGTGTGTAGATCTGTTTTAGCTTTATCTTACTTGATCTTGGATTGCCATCTTTTCTTGATGTTAGCTTACCAGCAGGGGGCTGTCCATCCCACTTCTAACTTACAACAGACTACAAAACCCAACAAATTCTTAAAATTACAGTTATCAGACTTCACATAAAGACCCTACAAATTTCACTAATTAATACTATATAAGAGCTCTAGTATATGAACTGGGACCTCTATATGGGACTAGTAGGTTTTATAGACATATTTTGATATTTGTCACACAAGACCAAATTCAGAAAGCTTATGAAATCACTATAAAATACCAACAACAGATGTGAAAGTTTTATATTCAATACCACTGATTAAAATATGACCACAAGTCATACTGATCACAATGTGATCACAATATGATCATAAGTCAGTCTTTTAAAAATAATTTTCACTCATATTTTAGATATTACAAAACTAACGTTTCTTTAAGGACTTAAGAATTAAAAATTCTTGGGGTGCCTGGCTGGCTCAGTCAGCAGAGTTTGTGACTCTTGATCTTGTGAACTGTTAAGCTTGAGCCCCACAATGGGTGCAGAGATTACTTAAAAAAAAAATCTTCAGAAGAATTAAAAATTCTTATTTTATCAAGAATAGTACCTTTACTTACTTTGGCAACATTTTCAACTGGTTTTCTCTAAGTTCTAATATCTGGAGTTTAGTTAATCTGCAAAACAAAATAACAAATCAATCATCTATGACAAAGACAATGAATTTAATTACCAAAGTGATGTCATGCTCCAAGTTTTAAAGCAACCAATATTCTCTAATTGCAAAGTAAGAAAAGACTATTTCTGCCCCTCAGAATTAGTTGGGGGAAAAAAGTTCAACACTTCCAAACACATTTAAAGCACAACTTGTTGTCCCTAAATATCAATCCTACAGCATTCCATGCAAACATGCCTCCAAAATATTAGCCATTAGTAGGTTAGAGAACAGTAATTCAACTCCAGAGTCCAGCTCCAAGAGAACAAACAAGGGAACTTAAGGGGACATAATAAAGAAGAAATCCTCTGGCCCTTCAGTGATGAACATTCCAATAAAATTAAGGGAAAATGAGAAGATTGGGTGGTCTAGAGTTGCTAACTAACGCCATAATGTCAATCATATTGCAATATATAAATGTATCAAATCAACATGCTGTATACCTTAAACTTATAAAATGTTATATGTCAAATATATTTCCATAAAAAAGTGGTCCAAATACCAGATATAAAAAAGGAATCTGGGACGCCTGGGTGGCTCAGTTGGTTAGGCGGCTTTCTTCGGCTCAGGTCATGATCCCCGAGTCCTGGGATCGAGTCCCGCATCAGGCTCCTTGCTCGGCAGGGAGCCTGCTTCTCGCTCTGCCTCTGCCTGCCACTCTATCTGCCTGTGCTCACTCTCTCTCTCTCTCTCTCTCTCTGACAAATAAATAAAACCTTTAAAAAAAAAAAAAAGGAATCTGACAAGTATGCTTTATATATATATAATATATAAATGTATGCATATATAATATGTACATCAAATATAAATATATTAAAAGTATATGCATAATTACACATACGTACCCATATATATTTATGTATGTAAATAAATATATGAAGCATGATAAAGTGGGTCCCACAGGACAGTCAATGGGCTACAACAATGCCCAGAATTCTTAGTTGAAATGTAATTGACATATAACATTATTAGTTTCAGGTATCCAATATAATGTATATGTGTATATATTGTGAATGACCACCATAATAAGAGTAGTTAACATCCATCACCATAGTTATTTTTCTTATGATGAGAACTTTTAGGATCTACTTTCTCAGCAACTCTCAAATATGCAATCCAGTATTGCTGAATACAGCAATACTGTACATTACACCCTCAAAATTTATTTATTTTATAACTGGAAATTTGTACTTTTTGACCACCTTTACCCATATTGCCACCCTCACCTGTACCAACCACCAATCTGTTCTCTGTATCTAATGAAGCTCAGGTTTGGTTTTATTTTGAGATTCCACATATGAGATCATACAATATGTATCTTTATTCACAGAGAAAAAGATGACTAAAATTAACATGCCATTGAAAACGCACTTTCTCTACTAGTTTTAAAATAATAATAATTTGATACCTAATAGTCATTCACTCACTGTTCATCTTTTCATTAAAAAAAAGTTACTCAAAGACTATAACGACAAGAATTACTCTATGTTCAGATTCTGGCGGGAGTGCGCCAATGGGGTGGTCCCCAGAAACACACTTTCTTTTCTCTAGAATTTTGATTCTAGTGGAGAAGACAGATAAATCAATAATTAGATCATTTTCAAATACGATAAATGCTAAAAATATAGTATTCGGTTCTCAAAAATATAGAAATTACCCACATTTAAAGTATTTTTGAATACTTTAAAAACCAATTCAAGTTGTAAATTACCTTTTTCTTCTAAATATTCACTGCTTATTTATTTATCTGGGAATATAAATTCAAAGACAAAATAACAAGACCCAAAAAAACTGTAAAAACCACAAGGTTTGGAAATAATTACAAAAGAGCGTATGAAAGTATAATTAATAGTATTACTAAAGCAACCTAGAGTTTTGTAAACTTGTAAGAGCTAACAAGAAAAGGTTTTAAAAGAAACTGTAATTTACCTGCCAAAGTTAGCTGGCAAGAACTCAAGGAAAGCATCATTTAGATATAACTGGGTTAGGTTTAACAGCTGAGAAAATCCATCAGGAAGCCTATATAAAATATATCAGAATTTAAGTTAAATTAACACACAGAATTTCAGTCTCAGGATCTATCTAAGAATCTGTCTAACCAACACATGTTCTTAACAGGTAACAGTCACTTTTTTACTTTAACGAGGGACCCGCAAACTTGAGATTTCCTTTTTATAATAATTTACCTATTTCAATAACTTCTTCTCTTCATAAACAGGAAATGAGATAGTATTTGCCTCAAGAAGATAAAATGTGCACAAAAAGGTCAACTTGAATGAACCACAGTACACAGAAATGTATTTAGGACATAACTATGACATCAGCAAGCACTCTTGAAATTTGCCTTATCTGACATCAATCCAAAGGATTCATAAAGAATTCCAAAACTTGACAGTATTTTTTTTTCCCCCAAACCTTCACAGTATGGAATTTTGGGGCTGGAATTCTTTGTACTGAGGAGGCTGTCTTCTGCACTGTACTGTTCAGCAGCAAGCCTGGCCTTATCTACTCGGAGTCAGTAGCACCACCCACCACCGCAGGTTTTAAAAACCAAACTGTCTTCAGAATTCGCCAAATGACCCTTGGGGGCAAAATCATTCCCATTTGAGAACCACTAGTTTAGAAATTATTTTCAATTTCAAAATCTGGCCTTTAAATAACCAAGTGAAGATTGCATAATTTTATAATAAGAAGAAGAAATAACACAAAAAGCTAAAGGACATTTTAAAGCCATATGAGAACCTGTATGTACCAGCTTTCCCTTTATTTCCCCTGGTTTACAAAAGAAATTCCAGATCTAGAACTGGATGCTAGAGCAATATTTTTAGCTAAAGATAAAACATCATCATTACATGTTTTTCCTGGATTTTAAAAAGTACAAAGTTCTGTTGCAGTGAGACTTCTCAGTCTTTGACTTATCTTGTTTCTTCCCTATGTCACATTCCTTCATCTACCACAGCAAATGAAGCACCAATGTTTGAAAATATTCACTAAATACAATACTGTATTATGTGAAAGCTGGTTTCAGTTTTTGACTTAGCTACACTAAACCATGCCCTACTTATCTTTTGCTTCACTATTCCATTTTTGCAAAACTTAATAGTTCTGGAGTCAGGAAAGTGTTCTATTCATAGCCATTACTATCATAAAAGAAAATTTATGACCTCTGGCGTATGTTGTAACCAATCATATGGTTTTCCTTTTTTGTTGTTCTTACCTTCCTGATCTTTCAGTTTCTTTTAGTATTTTCAAAAGTTTTAGAGTGCTACACAGCTGATTTGTGAGTGAAGAAATTCTTACATTCTGAAAGTATCACTGAGGGAGGAAACCAAATTCTAGCCTCATTACTGACACAAACCATCTGTGAGACCTGGAGCAAAACATTTGGATTATCTGTTCAGATGTCTCATTTACCTTTGTAAAATAGGGGGTTAGAAAATATGGCATTAGAAAAAACCATGGTTGTAAAAAGGTTTCATTTTAACCTAAAAATGAAATTTAAAGTTGATACAAATTACTCATTAAAAATATAGAAAGTAATTTTCTACTAATTCACAGCTGTTTTACTCAAAATTAACTTGTAATTCAACTGAGAACTTACTTGGAAATAGGGTTTACACTGGCCTCCACAACCGTCAAAACTTTACAATTTTTTATATTTTCTGGAAATTCCTGTATTCCTAGAAAATGAACAAATAATTAATAATCAAATAAAAAGGATCTATTAAAAAAGGATAAAATAATTAAAAAATGAATTACTGTTTACCTTGCAGATTCAAAATTTACCAACTAACTAGGATCTAGATAAACTGACAACATCAACCAAACAGAACTCTACAATTTCTCTTTTCTTTTTCATCTTTTGTTCATGTGCCTCTTTATAACTGCCAATTATTAGTTTTACTTCCCCCTCCTTCACTTAGCTCTTCTGAAAATTAGTGCCTTCTCCATTTGATGATGTTAAGGATACAAAATACAGAATACTTAGCACTCTTTCTGGTTTTCTGACATAAAAACATGATTACTTTTTTTTAATGCTGGGCCCAGATTAAGGTATTCCCTAACATACATGTCAACTGACAACGCTGAGAACAAAGCTGAAGCCAGAAGTAGTAGAAAATCTATATTTGATATGCCAGCAGATATGCCTGACGGCAGCTGCGGACCAATACTTCAGTAAAATACTGCATCAATGGGGTGGACAGGCCAAATTACAGAAACTTTCTAAGAACATACTCTTTTTTTAAAAAAAAAATCTTTTGTTGTTGTTGTTAAAGATTCTATTTATTTATTTGACAGACAGAGATCACAAGTAGGCAGAGAGGCAGGCAGAGAGAAAGAGGAAGGGAAGCAGGCTCCCTGTCAAGCAGAGACCCCGATGTGAGGCTCGATCCCAGGACCCTGGCTCATGACCTGAGCTGAAGGCAGAGGCTTTAACCCACTGAGCCACCTAGGCGCGCCCCTCTAAGCATACTCTTATTTCCTCACACTATCTCAGCAAAAATACAGTAACAGTAATTTGTGAACTAACAATAACCCACAAACTTCCAATAGCAATGTTATAACACAAACTAAGAGAATGCTAAAAGCTTTTAAAAATATTACAAAAATTCTGTAAGACTCCTTCCTGTACTAACACAATACAAATACTGAACATAATTGACATCAGAGGATCATTCAAACTTCTTTCAATTTCATTACTTTATCATTCTAGATAAGCAAGTTTACCACAGTGCCAAACACAGAATTTCAGGTGCCCAAAAATTAATAATGCAAAATCACCAACTGGCAAATACTACAGCAATAACTGTTCAGTTGAAACTCATCAGCAAATGCTAGTATCAGTGGGTAAAATAATGATGAGAAATAGGATATTAACAGACTAATTGTTTCTCTCAAAAAGATACTTATTAATAACAAAAGAAAAAAAGCAATTTAGTAAACAAATATTAAAGGCACCATCTTAAATTGTTTTAAAGTTACTATCACCAGTTAGCAACATCATGTGGTACCAAATCTACGATGCACTGGGAAGGGATGCAATACCATTATTGTCATATTCTTGCCAAAAACATGTAACATGCAAACATCAAACAAATTCAAATTTAGAAAAATTCTACTACATAACTGGCCAGTAAAATTTAAAACTATCAAGGTCAAAAAAGACAAAGGAAGACTGAGGAACTACCCAGGTAAGAGGAGACCAAAGAATATAATTGGGGGACTGTATCAATGTCAGTTATCTCCCTTGTTCTAGAATATTACAAAATGTTACCACTGTGGAAACTAGGTAACAAGTACACAGGACTACCCTGCAATTTCTCTTACAACTGTATGTGAATTTACAATTATCTCAATAAAAATTTCAATTAAAGGAATCTGGGCTCAATGATTCCTTACAGGAATTTTATTACCATTGTTATTATAAATTCAATTCTCAAACAGTCAAGATAACTCATTTTTTCAATTTCAGTTTTAGGAACTTTTACTTTTGCTGAAATTTATAAAGTTCATGTAAATCTTCAAATTAGCAAATATATACAATAATGGATATCGAATGATATTAAGGAATTACTGTTAGCTGGTTTTTTTCAAGTATGACAATAGAGTGGTTTCATTTCAAAATACTTATATATGAAAGGGATTCTTTGTGACTTGCTTTAAAATAATCAGAGGTGAAGAGGTGCCTTGGTGGCTCAGTCAGTTGAGCATCCAACTCTTGGTTTCAGCTCAGGTCATGATCTGGGGTTGTGAGATGGAACGCCATGTACGGGTCCACACTCAGCACAGGGTCTGCTTGAGACTCCCTACCCACCTTTCCCTTTGCCCTTCCCCACCCCATTTGCTCTCGTGCTCATAAATAAATAAGATTTTAACAGCAACTATAAGGGATGGCAAAGTAGGAGGTACAGATGAAGGTGTATTAGGAGGTATTCAATATACTGATACATGCTGAAGTTGGTTGATAGGTACAGCAGATTTATTATATTCTACTTTTGTAAATGCTTGAAATATTCCACTATAAAAAGATTACCACTGTTCAGCTACTAGAAACAGACTCGGAGACAAAAGAACTTTGAAAGAGTTACTGTACTTGAAGGGGAAAAAATGAACAAAATGGGAAAGATAAAAGCTTAAGTTTAAGAAATAAATGGAAACTTCACAAATAAAAAATATAGTAACTGAATGAAAAATACAGGACAGGATTAAAAAAGATTGGGGTGCCTGGGTGGCTCAGTGGATTAAGTGTCCAACTTCGGCTCAGATCATGATCTCAGGGTCTATCTGTCCCTCCCCCTGCTCATGCTCTCTCTCTCCCAAATAAAGTCTTAGAAAAAAGAACAAGATTAGACACCATAGGAGAAAATTTCAGTGAGCGAGAAGACATGGAAACAGAAATTAGCCAATCTGAAACAGAGAAAAAGTAGAATGAAAAAATTTCAACATAACAGAATATATGGGACAACAACGTCAAGCAGGCTAACCTATCTTTAGAAGTTTGTTTACCAGCCTACCACTAAGAATACAAGCTCTTGGGACACCTGGGTGGCTCAGTTGGTTAAGCAGCTGCCTTCGGCTCAGGTCATGATCCCAGTGTCCTGGGATCGAGTCCCACATCGGGCTCCTTGCTTGGCAGGAAGCCTGCTTCTCCCTCTGCCTCTGCCTATCACTCTGTCTGCCTGTGCTCGGGTGCTCTCTAACAAATAAATAAATAAAATCTTTAAAAAAAAAAAAAAGAATACACGCTCTTTGAGGGGAGAACCTTTGCCTCTCTTTTTCACTAGCTGAATAGGACATGGCATAGAGTTATCAATGTCACCAGATACTTCCCAAACTTCTTTCCAGGGTGGCCATACCTATTTTCACACCATAATACCTATTTATGCATGTTCTTGTCAACATATGCTATTTACATGCCAATATAAGGGTTGAACCTTACCAGCAATAATATAAATGTATATTTAAATTAAAGCTAGATGGGGGAGCCTGGGTGGCCCAGTGGGTTAAGCCTCTGCCTTTGGCTCAGGTCATAATCTCAGGGTCCTGGGATTGAGCCCCACATCGGGTGCTCTGCTCGGCAGGGAGCCTGCTTCTCTCTCTCTGCCTGCCTCTCTGCCTACTTGTGATCTCTCTGTCAAATAAATAAATAAAATCTTTAAAAAAGTAAATTAAAGCTAGATATTCTTGATATTTTCTAGTAATAATACATTTTCATGTGTTTACTGATCATTTTTATTTCTTCTTCTTTGAACTCCCTGTTTATTGTACATCTTCTATTGGATTATCTTTTCATTACTGATTGTAAGCATTCTTTAGAAATACTAGTGTATTAAATTTTTCTGTTTGTCATGTATTATTTATTTAGTCATACAGAAATTTTATTCTTCTACTACTGTGCTTTTTAAAAATTAATTTATTAGTTTATTAGAAAGAGAAAGAGAGTGAAAGAAAGAAGGAAGGAGAGGTAGAGAGAGTATCGCAACCAGGCTACATGCTCCACGAAGAGCCCAACACAGGGCTCTATCTCATGATGGTTAAGATCATAACCTGAGCCAAAATCAAGAATCGGACACTTAACCAACTGTGGCACCCAAGTGCCCCTACTTTGCTCTCTATATCTTGAATAAGATCTCTTTCCTATCCCAAAGTCATAAAAACATTCTACATTTTCCAATAATTGTGACTGTTTTCATATTATTATCCTTAATTAATTTGGAATTTATTTTAGTACATATTATGAAGGCTCTCTCTTTTTTTTCTATTTCCCATATAAATCCACTATTTCAATGCTAACAAAATACTTTTCTTATTTCACTGATTTGTAGAGGCACCTCTGTCATATTCCAGATTCTTTCATGGTTATGTTTCCTGACACTCTTTCCTTTTAGGTCCTTCTACTCATCTATTCCATAGTTTTATGTTTTTCTTCCATTTAGGTTGCACTGCACATTTTCTATGAAGTTCATTTCTAGATATGTGTGATAGAGTGGTTGCATTAATAGACTCACTCCCTATACCACTATCTACAATGTGATCCTTCAACAACTCCCATCAAAATATTAAGTATAATTTCCCTATGTTCTGATTCCAGGCTCAGCCATGTGTTCTGCTTTGGCCAATGAAACTTTAGCCAAGGTGATGAAATAGAGGGTTTAAATAAGCTCTCTGGCTAATTTCCACTAGCTCTTAGGGTCCTCTAATTGTTCTGTGAGAAATGTGGCTGGGATAACTTGGGCTAACCTGTTGGAGGATGAGCTCTGTCATCCCAACACAGGGTCACAACATTGTGATTTAAATAAGTCTTTATCTGGTTTTGTTATCAAAGTGTATTTTACCCTTACAGACAGAATTGTGTACTTTCCCCCCATACTTTAATCTAAAGAAGTTTTATAAATTAGGGATAACCCCAATTCCAAGAAGGTTTAGTCAGATTTGCTCTTAAAAGTAGACTTGGTAGTTTTTCTGACTATCCAATATAATACTGTATTTGCAGGTCTTTTTTTTTTTTTTTAAAGACTTTATTTATTTATTTATTTATTTATTTGACAGAGAGAGAGAGAGAGAAGACAGACAGACAGACACCACAAGGAGGCATAGAGGCAGGTAGAGAGGAGGAAGAGGCTCCCTGCTGGGTAGAGAGCCAGATGCAGGCCTTGATCCCAGGACCCTGAGATCATGA